GCATGGTAAGTCTGCTGTGACACATGGTCACTTTTCTGCACAAATAAAAGTATATCAAATGTAAAAAATTGAGAAGAAGCAGAGGAGAAATGAAGGAGCTCTGCTAAAACTTAAGGGATTTGAGCATTTAAAGTGTTTTAAAATTTCAAAACACTAGGAGTAAGTTCCTAAAGCTTGAATCTCTCTTTTTCTTCTATTTTCTCGAGTTGAAAAGTTAGGGTTTGTTTGAGAAAGATAATTCTTAACCTATAGAGGTTATAGGTTTGAACTCCTTGACTTAAATAAAGTTAATGTGAGTTAATTAAACTAATAAAACCTAGTATTTATGACTTTATAGTGTTGGTGGTTGGGGCAATAAATACTAGGAAATCCCACCATAAATAGAGTAGTTGGTGCAATATGGCTCCATTAGTGGTGATTTAAGGTTTTAATAAAGTTAACGTGAGTTAAAGAAAGCTAAAAAACCTTATGGATACCTTTGTATGGAAAGATATTGAATCTTAGGAGTAAAGAAGTGTTTGAGTTAATAGTAAAAATTATTCAAAAAGGAATATTGATGAATCATATCATGATTGATTGTAGAGTGAACATTTTTGGTGCTATTCAAGTTTCATGAAAGTTTGGGGAGTGTGTAATTGAGGAGTGAAACATTTAACCTCTTAAAGGTTTGAGGTAACCAGGAAAATTCTCTCTTGTGCTCTTATGTGTTAGTTGATTTATTTATACTTACAATTAAAATGTGTGAAATTTCTTAATGCAAGTGTGGCATGAAATGTTACAAATTTATATTAAAGTTTTATGGAGTTCAATGACATGCACTGTAGAGTTCAATGATTATAATTAATTCAAGTACAATGATAGTGAATATGTGAAGTTATATGAATTAATGTTAGTGGAGTTTCATAACTTATTTTATTTGAAGTTCAATGATGTGAATTATGATAGAGTTCAGTTATTATATGTTAAGTGGAGTTTAATGATTATGTGATAGAAGAGCTCAATGGCATAACATATTGTGGAGTCCAATAATACATATTAAATGTAATTATGTGATGAAAATGTGTAATAAGAGTACAATGAGATAATTGTACATGTTTAAGTAGTGAATACTTGCATGCTATGTTATTGCAAATTTATACATTGTAAGATTATGAGAGGCGGGAGTTCGCCTAAGAAGAGGAGTAGAGAATTAAAATTTACATGGTAAGGCTTCAATCAGAACTCGATGTTATTCTATATTTATTATTCACACTGTCCCACTTGTTTAAGGAGGAATTGTCTCACTGGTTCAACGAGAAACTCGAACCTAGCTAATTATCTATTTGTTTAACGAGGAAGCTAGTTTAAGGAGAATGACCCCCCATAGAGTAAGGAATGGGGAAAACCATGACTCACAAGTGAATTAAAAAACCTTGGCTAGGTAACCTTTCACACGTGTTTGGTTAGGGTAGTCTTAATTTATAGACTATCCCAATATGTTATAACCCATAATTTCGTGTCAAGGAAGTAAGGAAGATATAAGAAAAGTATGACCATGCATATAATGATAAAAGGATATATAATTGTCTGTATTATGACTATAGTGATAAAAATAATGATATTAGTATTATATCTATGTGAAAATGTGTTAATAAGTTATTACCTTATGAATACATGCTAATATAAATGAGAATTATGATTAGTGTTTCTTGATCATGCTAAATGAATTGAGAATAATACTTTATTATTTGCATTTAAATTGATTGACATGTATTAATATCAGTTAGATGGATCTTAGTTATTAAGTGGTTGTACTCATCTCATTATCTTTAATATTATATGAACTAGTTCAAGGGAACAAGATAGAGGGAAACAATCTAAGGCATAAAATTAATGTCCTATTAATAGGCCTCCTTTTCTTTTTGAATATTAATGTGTATATTTTTGCATGATATTGCCAACTAGAGATATTTCATGTTGTGTCTTACTTGCATTATATGTGTTTTGTTAAACTATATAGTGTAATTTGGGCCCTAGGGTATGCATGTATTAATTGTGAGACCTAGAGTAGAGCCAAAATACTAATGCAAGTAATAGTTTTGTGTGGCACTTGAATTATGTTGATTAATTTTGAAAATTTAAAATTAGAGCTTCTCCTTCTTTTTTTGAGATTAAGGGGTTGGGTAATGAAAATGTAATTAATAAATATTGTTAGTGATGTAGCGTATTGCATAGGTCCATTTTAGTCTATTGAATATGGTTTGGGTAGTGTTGGTAGCTTTTGACTTATGGTAAGAGTTTTAGACGCTCAAGTTATGTGTAATTGTGAAAAAAAGTGAATTTTAAAATGAGTGTACAACTTTTGACTAACAAATAATTTGAGTGTAAAACTAAAGCCATTAGTTAAGGCTAGAAAAAAAACTCTCTATAGACATTTAGATCGTCTCAATAGGACATCACACAGAAAAATGGAGAGCATCGAAAGTTTGCGCAGTTGCTATCAAATGACCACAAAATCTGCTGTCAAAACCATGCAATGAGCCCCGATGCCTGGCACAGAGGCTCGCAATGCGCGATGCAAGTGTCACAAGCCGCGGCTCATGCCTTTGTTTCTACATTGTCTCATTGTTTTTTAATTTTTAAGCAAATGCCTTGATTCTTTTTGAAATTTTATGCTTCTGCATGTTAAGCAAACTTTGATTTTTCACTTGTGAAAAATTTTTGAAATGTTTTAAAAATATTAAAAACTTGGGATTCCATTTGTGAAATTTGACGAATTTAGTAATTATCATAATGTTTGGAACTTAGAGAGGATTAATAAGGATAATCTTATTTGTCTAACTTGAAGATTTTATAGTAAGGACATGTATCCTTTTGGGAGGATAGGTATACCAGCACTTTCTTTGACTACTTTTTTAGCTGAGGATGTCAACAAGGTTGATCAAATCAAGAACCAACTCTCTCGTTCCAAGCTTAGATCTGGAGTTGGCTGACTTTCATTTGCTGCTACTCTCCTGTTTGTCGTTGTTTTTCCTCGTTCTTTCGTTTGGTTTGCCTTTTGTTTTGTTCCTTTTCTGTACCGCTACTCTCCATTTCGTATTTGTTTTATGAAATATTCTTGTTGATCAATAAAAAAAAAATTATGTTGCTCTTCTATTTTTCTCTAATAACAATCACTTGTGTGCAAGGCACTTTGTATAGCAATACATATAACATTTAATCTCCAAACTATTACATTTATGAACTTTAAAAGGTTGATTGTGAATATTTTGTAAGCACATTAAGATTCCCTGATATGCATCTGTAAACAAATTATTTCAACTTATTGAAAAAAGTCCATTAAATGTATAACCAAATATATTTAGAATATTTAGTAAATAAATTTATATTTATTATATAGCTATTTGAATGAGTCATATTTAAATATTGTTAGGCTAATTTAAAATAGTTCTTTTAAAGATATTTTTTACATTTACACAAACTCAAACTTGAAACTTTATGTCCAAACAGTCATAACCCCTTTCATTACAACTAATGCTTGCTAGTATGCATATTTATTATATAACATGGATAAATATATAAGTTTTATTGATATACACATTTATCCTTTCAGGCCAAAAGGAAAATATATACATTTATTTTTCATTTAATATGAAAAGATAGATGATAGAATCCATAAATGCATATCTTTAGCCAATGCATATTTTTGAAATATTCAATAAAAAAGAAACATGCTATGAAGTCTGACACAACAATAAGTGTGATAGCAAACTGAGATGGATGCTTTCGGCAAAATCAGTGGTATGTAATTCAATCCAAAAACACATTATTCTTTATTGAAGTTCTATACCTGATCCGAATCCAAAGATAGATGATAGATGTTTGTTGCCTGTGGGGTTCAACCATTTATTTTTACATCGTTCTTTTGCCAGAGCAGTTTGGTTTGGATCTGAGTTCAATTTATGGATTGATTCTATGGTTTCCATATCTTTGATCCAATGGCTCACTGATTGGATCTCTGAAATTCATAAAGTCGGGCAGGAATCTTTGGCAATGATTTCATGTCTCCCATTTTTTTTATTATTGATGCTTTATGGTTTGGCAGGAACCAACTAATATTTCATAACAAGCATCTGTTGCCAATGGCTGTGATAGCTCTGGCTCGACGAAATTGTCTGTTTTTCCACTGTCATAGGTTCTCTAAGTCAGGCAACGATACTCACCGATGTTGGCATCCTCTGTTGATGCGATCATCTCTGCTTCTAAATTTACGTTTGGCTGATAGTAACAACATTCTTCAGTGGAAGCTATTCTGTGCAATATTCAAGATGAGAAAGAGGAAGGGCGTTCGGATCGGCCTTCTTTTCCAGAATCAACAGGTGCATCAATGGTCTTGGCAAGCAATACCTCATGGAAGACTGCATATGCTGCTAGAAGCATTTCGTTATGTTCTTCTGTTTATTAAGCATCAACGGTGGATTGCCAATCAAATGTCTTTTCCGCTGATGCTGTTTCTGCAAAATGCTACTACTTATCTTAATTTTGCTTTAGGATAGCAGCAACCTCAATTTAGTTTAACATTGCTGCAAAAGGATGTTTCATCTTTATTGTCTGAATTTTCTATGGGGCATGTAGAGGACCGTTCGTATTTTATATATTTAATTTTCTCTGTAATTAAAAAAAAAAGATCAGAAAATCATATGAAAAAATGAACAGTAAAAATATAAAAGGTTACATCCACACCTAATCTAACAAACAACTGGAATGTCACACATGTCGATAATAGAAGTTGTTTGACCAACATGTTGATCAGCAAGTCATATAATGCCCATATGATTGGAGCTGATGTAAAGCTATCAAGGTAATGACATTTATACTTTAGCTGTATTTATAGCTGCCGGCCCATAATTTTCAAATATTATATCGTCCAGCCACATCAATGGATCCTCGTTGTCCACTACACAACAAAGGATCTCTCATAGTAAAATTAGCCAATCTGACTCATTCTAGTTCCGGCAACAATAACTCTCTCGTCCTTGGAAGACGACTTTGTTAATCAATCCATCACAACATTGAGACTCTGTCTCTTGCTTCACATTCATATCCCAAGAGTTTGGATCAACTCCCATAATCATATCATCGGCTTCAATGGAGCGAATTTCCACGTGGGTAGTCCTCCTTTCATGGATTTTCCTCATTAACGTGACACTTTGTGTGGAGGACGAGGTCAAGAGCTCAATGATAAGCTTCCTTGCGAAACTATCAAGCCAACAGAATATTTCTGCTTTGAATTGGAAGGCAGATTCTGATCCTTGTAAGGACCTCTGGCAAGGTGTAGTCTGCGATTCTCGTAATGCATCAGTACGGAGGCTATTTCTCGACAGGCTGAATTTATCTGGAACTCTTGATGCTGCTATTCTCTGCAATGTTCAACCTCTTGCCGGTTCTTTAATCATTCTTGCTCTTGGTGGAAACGCCATCAGTGGGGTGATATCAGATGAGATTGGAAACTGCAAAAAGCTAACTCGCTTGTACGTTGGGGGAAATCAACTTTCTGGGGAACTTCCTCCTTCACTTGCCTTGCTAAATAATCTGAAAAGGCTTGACATTTCGAATAATAAGTTTTCTGGTCACTTGCCAGGCTTGTCCAGAATCTCAGGGTTGAATGTGCTCCTCGCCCAGAACAATAACCTCAGTGGGGCGATACCCGGGTTTGATTTTTCCAACTTTTATAAGTTCAATGTTTCTTGTAACAACTTTAGTGGCCAAATTCCAGATGTTCATGACCGTTTCTTTGAAGACAGCTTTTTGGGCAATCCTGAACTGTGTGGAAAACCACTGCAAAAAAACTGTCCGCTAATTCATACTCTTGCTGTCAAATCAGTAGAATCAAATGGGTCAAATGAAATGAATGGATCGAATGGATCAAAGGGTCCTTCTAAAGACCAAATCCTAATGTATTCAGGATATGCTGCATTGGTTTTGGTATTTATCCTTTTCGTACTTTATAAACTGTGTACAAGGAACAAAATAGAAAAGGCTGAAGCTGGAGCATCAAATAAGGTAGCAGCAAGTAATGATCATGATGTGTTTGACAAACCTAGTAATGCTTCAAGTGGACAAAAATCAGTCGTAAGCAGATCCGAGATTTCAGTCAATTCTGAAAGTGGGATGGTTTCACAATCACTTGTAGTTCTTGCACAACCAGTGATAAGTGAGTTTAGACTTGAGGACTTGCTGAGAGCCCCAGCAGAACTGCTTGGCAGAGGCAAGCATGGTAGTCTTTATAAGGTGATGCTGGACAACGGCAAGACGGTGGTTGTAAAAAGGATCAAGGACTTGGCTACTTCCAGTCATGACTTCAAGCAAAAAATGGAGATTCTGGGTCAAGTGAAGCACCCTTACTTACTCCCACCACTTGCTTTCTATTGCTCCAATCAAGAGAAGCTTCTGGTCTACGAATTCCAAGAAAATGGAAGCTTATTCAAGCTTCTTCATGGTAAATATCATCATATACTCTATTTGACTTCCACTCAACTTTTTAATTTCATCCCCATGTAAACTTGCACTACACACGAGCTTCATAATATTAGACATGGTTTTCAGGCGAGTCCAGAGGATTTGATTGGACCAGCAGGCTTGGGATTGCAGCAATGATAGCAGAGGGATTGGCTTTCATGCATCAAAAGGTTGGGGAGAAAGGTATTGCACATGGAAACCTGAAATCCTCCAACATTTTGCTGAGCTATAACATGGAAGCACGCATAAGTGAGTATGGTGTGATGAATATGGACGATGAACTGAGCTCATCTTCTGCAAGTCCTCGTCCTACTGGTTCTGGAGCACCAATTGTGTTGAAGGCAGATGTGTATGGATTTGGGGTGATACTTCTTGAGCTACTTACAGGGAAGTGTGTGAAGAACGATGGGATTGACTTGGCGGAGTGGGTCCAATCTGTTGTGAGGGAAGAATGGACAGGCGAGGTGTTTGACAAGGCACTGATATCAGAGTATGCCAGTGAAGAGAGGCTGGTGAATCTGCTTCGAGTGGCTATCAAATGTGTTCATCGTTCACCAGAAGCTAGGCCAAGTATGAATCAGGTGGCTCTCATGGTTAACACTGTCAAAGAGGAAGAAGAGAAATCATTGATCTATGAGGTGTGATTTAGCTGGGGCCATATGCTTAGTATTGACTCATATAAATCTGGCCACTGCAGAGTATACTTTTAAGTGGAATTTCATTACATATCGTGATAATATTCTTGACAATTTCTTTCCTTCCAATCATGTATGTAGAACATTTGCATGGTTTTATGAATAACTAGTGATGTGAAGCATTCTATTTGATATTAGATTGTTTTTGCTGTATCACTTTTTGTTGATGCGTTACAATTAAATAGTATTATAAAAAAGTTAATTTTATAATGAAGTTTACGAAAATTTATTTATTTGTTAAAATATTAGAAATGTCAAATAATTTTTATTTAATATTTAATGCGAAATCAAGATTTTGATCATACATGTGGAAAAGGACTAAGGCCCCAAGGACTAATCAATTCGTATAATTTTGTTCAAACAATCCACTGAAATTTTCCAGTGAGATACTTACAATTAGCAACAAATATTCAACCTCTGATTTATCTATGACATTGTCACTAGCTCTTAATATTCCTTTCTCCTTTTTAATTATATTCAAATTTCCCCAAAACGTACACCATATACAGAAAAAAAAAATCCTCAAATACTCAAAGATTATTCAACGTGGAAAGCCATCACATTTAGTTATTTACAGAGACTTGTTGCCTTGCATAGGACCGATGTACACTTCATATTTACATAAAAATAAGAGGCCATGCCTGCCTGATGACTAAGAAGAAATTCTTATTCTTTGGCACAACAGTGTTGGCATGTGAAATCATAGTACTCGGGATTAGGATTTGATTTAATTGTCAACCATTAAGTATATTCTCCAGCATATTGTACCTAATAATTTGTGACTGATGATGATGTTGTACAATTAAAAGTTCATGTTGGCCTACTTTCAGATTTTAAAAACCGAACATACTCCTGCTGCAACATCTCCCCGCCATGCACTGGATCAAAGCTGCACCTGTAAAAACTGATGCCATTGGAAAGAGATGGCACCATGTGAGAATGAGGGCAATAATGAGACATATGATGTCCTTACAAGAGATATTAAAAGAGAAAGAAGTAGAATATCAATATGCAGAAAAGAAAGAGAAAAAGCATATACAGTTATACACCACTTTAGCCTTGTACCATTGCAAGCATTAACTTTGCAAGCAAGAAAATACCCCAGTAAACTTTCACACTTCAAAGAGCACATTATATGTGGCAGCAAGAGTGTGAAACGCCATCATTCTTGACCAAAACAGGACTGATGCTTTAAACGACTAAGTTTGAAAGTTTATAAGGTGATTTGGACCTTCACAGTTGCGAGATATTTTTCAATGACTTGGAATTAAAGGAGTGCGGAGCATTGCATTTTAGAATGTTCCTTTGTGGCTAATTGAAAAGGCTACAACATACAAACAAACTACACAGAAAGGGGAAGCGGTTACACAAATGTAGTTGATATCTTATACCTCCAATAATTGTATGAAGTATGAAATATATAGTTTAAAATTTTCTGCCTCTAACATTAGCCCTTATTTTCATATGGGCATGAGGGCTTAGATATACATTTACCTCAACTTTATAGGAAATCAGTATATCAATAGATAATATATATTCCATAACAAGCCACACTGTTCATTAATCATTAATAATGCAGTTCATTTCTCAAATTTTATGTAATGCACAGAAAAAACGTGTCCTATTCTTAAAAAATTAAGACCCCCCCCCCCCGGTGATGGGGGGGGGGGACCCAAATGAAACTCAAAGTGCACAATACAGTAACATAGACATACCTCCCGTCCAAGCCAACAATTAGGGCAGTGTTCCGAGATCCAAATGCCACAATAAATCGTGTGTTCTCTGGCAAGCGGTACCGGGCAAATGACCATTCTGAGCTAAAATATTTTGGTAAGACCCCTACCATGTAGTCAAAGAGATCAAGTCATTAGAAAAACCACAACGACCAAATGTTTGCCAAGGCATTTTGCAATTTCGTAGCTAAGAGAAAATAATACAAAGACGAGCTGGACAAGCTGGTTGCAAGAAAGAGGAAAATCCTCACTGCTGGGGGGAAATTTATAAGCATTAGTTCTGTTAGAGGTAGGGATAACAATGGCTTCAGATGACTTGATTTGAAAAGAAAGATATATTGAGGAGATAACCCCTCATCAAAGGGTTTTGGGGAGCCTTTTAGACAGCTGGTTAGATCCGAGAAAATCATTAATGATGCTATCATGTTTTTGAAATTTCCAAAAGTCTACAGGTCAACAAATGAACATCCTAGACAACACATAAACTTAACAAAATTCTTTAAATCTTGAAATTTATTAATAACAAGGCTTAGCAAGTAATCGTATGATTAAGTAAATCTCTTTTACCTCTCATGAAAGACAATGATGAATTGGGGTTGGAACCAGTATTGGGAGAAAGCAATGAATCTAAAGAGGTTGAAGAATTATGATGAAGCAGCGCATGGCTCTGGGGAGTGGTTGGAGGAGGCAATGTCTCCTCCCCAACAACTCTGACTCTCAGGCTGAATATATGAATGGTGCCTTTGTCACTTGATGCTGCCAACCACTGGACATTTGAAGATAAAGCAATACTATAGATTTCAGCTCTATCTACCCCTCTTCTTACCTGCACAGAAGATTTTTGCATGGAAAATTAAAGAAAATTCATGGTCGTAGAACAAACTAAGTTTATTAAAGAAAAAGCTACTAGTTTTTTTAGGCTCAATCCATGATCCTTGAGAAGTAGAAGCCTTCTGTCTTTACAAAAAAGACGTCAAAAGCACAACCATAAGAGTTGTAGGAAAATCATAAAAAGCTGCATGACAACTATTTAAGGAATATTCAACATGAAATTTGTGTTCTATAAATGTAGAAGATATTGTTGCAATAATGCCCCTTTTATAGCAAAAAAAAAAAAAAAACTGGAAACTTAACCTTGCAAGGTTTTTAAACAACTTGAAGGAAAAACAATTATTTGAAGTTTGTTTGCATACAGCAAAACAATTATCAGAAAATCTTGCAAAAAGTATAGATCGCATAAAGGAAAATTTTTACAAAAAATGTAATTTCCCATCCAACCCATCTTATTCAAGAAAATACAAAACCCAAATTGGTGAAATTCCACAAAAAATTGACACAATTAAGTTAGAGGCAACAATGATCATCCCAATAATTAAAATACATGGTCCAGTAACCTACTTCCTGCAACCGACTGCCATCCATGGTGTTGAAGATTCTAATTAAAGTGCCCTTTGCACTAGCAGTCGCAAGAAGGAGCCCATCCATTGTCAAAGTAAAGCATGCAATTTGAGAATCATGAGCATTGATTACTTTCATCATGTTCAGACCGAAGTGTTCAACCCGGACTTGTCCACTGTGAACACCAGGACAAGCCAAAACAAACGTATTTGGATGGTAAGAAAGACAGCACAATCCCTAGGATTAGCCAAAGTCTCAATCTGTTGAAGAAGCTTCAAATCCATGAAGTTATAAACATAGATCTTGTGCTCAAGAACTACTACAATTCGATCGCGTCTTAATTTCACTGCACGAACCTCAGACCTAAATGTAAATTCACCAATGCACCTGCTCTGATGATCATCCCAAATCATAACTTTGTTAGGAGGGTAACATGGATTAGTTACAGCACCAACAAGTGCTAGAATGTTGCACCGGAACAGCATCTCTACAATTTTAAAACCACCTCTCAAGTCACGTCTAAAAGTCTCCTTGAAAGGCACACAATTATAAATTCGAAAGCCATGGCTAGTGCCGGCAGAAAAGCAACCATAGTCCTGATTCCAAGACACAGATAGCAACTCTGTTTCATCTTTTGAATTACTATTTGCATTTTGCTGAGGAAAATCAGCAGATGGCCCAGCATTGAGGGATTCAAAGTTGCCCATCCATGAAGTTGGACTAATTCCCTGAGGTGTTGAAACAGATGAGTTTGAATGAGAAGAGGGAGTAGCCGTGAGCCCTTGCTGCATTAGATAGCTATGGATAGCCAAAACTATAGAAATTTGAGTGCGCCCAGGTTAATTTCTGTCAGAACCAACAAGACATTTTACTCATATTGCATAAAAGAATTAGTAATCAGAAAGCTGATGAAGAATATGAGAAGGACGGATCAAAAGCAGCAAATACCAATTGACCAGTCAAGGCGAAGTGGCAAACAATTTGGGCAGGCGGTCAAGATTCAACTTCTCATCATTAATCGTTTAGTATTAAATGTGACATATTCATATTCCTAGTTGCTACATTTCTGCTTAAATTCAAAAGTAGATGATCTCTCACAATTCACTCAAACTGTAGAAGACAGTATGTGTAGCAAGGTAAAATAGTCATTCAGAAGCCATGGTAAGCAGGATCCTAAAATCTTCAAGTTTTCTTTTAAATGTCTAGGAGCAGCATATCTAAAATGAGATGTTGTTTAAATCAAGTTCTCTATATTTTATCTGATAGTTAAAGTTACTGAAAATTCTCCAGAAAGGGCTGTGCCTGTGTCCTCTATTGCTGCCATGTGTATCTAAATTCATGCAGAAGATTGAGATTCACCATTTTCACCAGGTCAGATTGCTTTGAAGTGAATGAACAAATGGCAGGTGTTTACATGCCATGATGATGAGCTCCAAATTTGGAAAAGCAAGAGAAATTTTAGACAAATGATAAATGATCCTTATGGACAACAACTAACTGTAAGGTGATTGGTTGGACAACACAAACGAAATATGAATGCCACATGAAAGGGGGAAAAACAGAGGTTCTAGGCATGGCTAAGAGGAAAATTCACAATGAACAGAAGAACAAATAATAAATATCAGATCTAAAGGCAGAATTAAAGCCTGGAAATTATATATGACACAAAATGTCAGGAGTCTATCTATCAGGCAGCCAAATCTAGCGTTGAACCTTGACACGTTTCTTCAACCTGGCAGAATTAGTAATTCATATTCCTGGAAAATGTTCAGTTCCAAACAATAACTTTGGTAACAAGAACCATATGCCTTGTTCTTACTCCTGCAACTCTGTCCTGTTAAAAACTCATTTCCTAAGTTGTACCATTTACTGTAGATTCCAGTTTATTTCAGCTTGATGAACACCACAATTGTAACTTTCGAGCAGCACAATCAGAGACTAATCGCTCAAGTCATTACTCAAACTTAAATTGACAAGCCAAAAATTCCAAATTTACCTTTCTAGGAAATTGTGTCTATGATATCCAAAACCAACTGAATCATTTAAGTGATACAAAAAAAAAAAAAAAATTGAAGAATAATTTGCTGCACCCAAAGTTCCGTGGTCAACGTCCTCCATATAATGTATCAATGGAAACGAACTTGTTATGAAGAAGACCAAAATGGTTATTTCAATCATAAAGTAGACTTTATTCTTGACACGTGTTTAGCATTTGCGACATGGCTAGAGCTCACGGAGTAGTTATTTTAACATGAAAGTGATATACCGATTAAAAGAGTGCCTGTCAACAAAAGGAACAATATGTGCAAGTTGGTTGTGCCCACAACTAAGCGTGGAAATAGTAACGGGCAAAATGATATTGTCATTATTTTTTTCAAGGTGAAAGGGTATCGGAGTTGAAGATAACACCCAGAGCAACTCTTAACAAGTAGCAAATTCTCCCTCCTCTCAGCAACGGATTAATTTATCGCGCCAGCATCAATAATTACCACCAAAAGTTTCCAGAACAAAAATACAAACTTCCAATATTAACGACAGGGTCTGAGAAGACTAGTGAAATATAAAACAAAAGAATTTATTTTGCCCGAGAAGATTGAACAGAGAGCCCAGAAGAAGGAATATTCACTTTTTAGGTGTAGTATAAGAAAATGACCATCATAAAAATCAATGAAAAACAAAAGTCAGGCAGAAAACTTCATGAATAGAACACAATGACAAACCTTTACGAATCGTCTTTGACCTTTTGCAGCGACGAAGTACTTATGAGCGCAACGGCTTTTTCGAGGGAAACAATAAGATCCGACTCCACCAGAACCTTAAAGAATTGTTCAAGACTAGTGTAAAGAAAAAAAATTAGAAAATTGGAGGCGCAAAACCCAGAAAGAGATTCCAAGATCAGAAAAAGAACGCGACTCAGAAGTGTAAAGCAAAACAGTCCTGTGAAAATGAGGCAAAAATTGCTTATCTATGTTAAAAACAATTCAATCAAGAATTTTTCATTAGACTCGCCAAGGTGGTTGAAGAGACAGAGAATGATGCTGAAAAGTGAAAACTTATCAGAAAGGAGAACGGTGAGGAAGGCCAATAGGCAAAAATACGAAGTGGTCGGCCACCGACTAAATTGTTAAATTCTAGATCCACAACTTATTGACTCCTAATAATTTGATCATATATGTTTGGGAAAATAATTTCAAGATTTATGTATTTAATTTTATATATTTAATATAAGTTTATTTAATTAAATTATAATAAGTAAATTTTAATGCATTAATAACATTCATAATAAGAGTTTTTTATAAAATAAATAATCTATACAATATTTATATATCTTAATTTAATTAAAAATAAGTACATTAAGTATTTAAGTTTTTTTTTATAAATGCTTATACATTTTTTTTTTCACTTTAAATTGGTGATCTGATTTCTTGAGTTTGTGTAATTTTTCCGCTTTGGCCATCGATTGAAAAAATGATGGGAATAAAATTAGCAAGACTCGGAAAGACGCTTGGATTTGCAGCATGACTTAAAAAAAAAAAATGACACTTAATATTAAAAAAATTATTTCATTCCAACAAAATCTCAATGAATTTCAAAATGTAAAAAAAAATTCCTTAAATTCTTAATTTAAGGGATTTTTTTACAAATTTGTAACCTATATTTAAAATTTTGCATCTTTTATTTTGATTTCCAACTCGGTTTTTAACTTAATTTAAGAACACAAATTTTTTATAAAAAAACACAAAATTTTAACATTTAATTTTATAAGATTATTTATTCAGCTCCAAGAATTTACAACTTATACAGCTCCAAAAATGTACAACTTATTTCTCTGATTTGTAATGATTCATATATTTTACATATTTTTACATCACTTTTCTTAATTTTTTAGCACTTGTTTTGGACTATTTGAATTTACGTGGTTAATAATTATAATTAAGAAGCAAAAAAAATATTTTAAAATTTTTTGAAATTTATTGCTTATTTTTTAAAATTTTATTTTTTTATTTTTTAAGATATATTTTTTATTGATTTTATTATTTCAAATGTAGGTGGCTATATGAAAATGAGAAGAAGCAAGAGGATAAAAAGTTTGAAAATAAAAAAATTCTTCTTCAAGAAAAATTAGAACCCCACCTGCATACCACTTAGCTAAGCAAATTCACAATTAGTTTCCACCGTTTCTTTCAAGGAAGCACGAGGGAGAAGAGGAGAAGTAGCAGAAGTAGGAATAGAGAGGGAGAGGTAGGGAGAGAACTTGACAATCAGTCATTGATGGAAAATAGTAAAAGCAAACAAGTAAGTCGCCAGAGACGGTGAAAGCAAATCAGAAGCAAGAGCCATGAGAGGAGAGCGACGATGCATATCGGGGAAAGCAAAGTAGAAGCAAGAGCAACAAGAGGAGAGCGACGATGCGTATCGGGACGTGTATCCGAGTACGGGACATGTGTTCGCAGTCCGATGCGTATTGGATGCTAGGGACTTTCTCTCTGCTTCAATTGAACAGCTTGTGTCATGCGACCACCGTTTTGAAAAAAAAAAAAAAAAGAAAATTTGAATTTTCACTGTCAGCACATTCACACACACACCCTGATTCTCTCCGCTCATCTTTCATCAATTTGATCCCATCAATTGATTCACCGCTTACTCCGATAAAAAGAAAACATTTCTTCATTTTTTTTCGATCATATCTCCACTTCGTCTTCTATCGCTTCATCTTTTTCATCGTCTCCTCCTCTGTAATTGTTCTTCTTGGGCTCCTTCAATTCTCCAACTGGTTCTGTACTCCTCATCATCCACGCCGATCAAATCACTCCTTGTCCAGTCCGCATCAAATCCTCGAATTCAATTCAGTCATTCTCCTTTATTTTCGAGAAATTGCATTATTCTCCATTTCATCACCATGGCCGAACATTTTAATGATTTTGGAGATGGACTAGAGGAAGTTATGGGGCATGGCTAAGAAGCTTGTGATTCTTGGGAGAAGACAAGAAGCACTTGAGCCAAGCTTTAAAAAGGGTTAAGTCATCTCTATTTTGATTTTAGTTACAATTTTTATTTCTTGATTGAAATTTGCACCTTGTAACTAGTGTAAGCTATGTATTTGGTGAAATGTTTAATTGATATTTTGTAATGATACATTGCGTATTGGGTTTTCTTGCTATGTAGCTCAAACTTCATGTTACATTGTGATTGTTGGTACTATATAAGTTAGTATTGCACGAGTATTGTGTTAATATTACTTTGAGATGTTTAAATTTTGATTTATCTAATTGAAACTCATTTTTTAAGTGAATTTCGTGCTATACATTGGCCATACTTGATTTCATTATACTCATTGTGCATTGATAGTGTTAATTGATTAAATAGAACTACCATTAATCATCTAAGATATTAGAAATTTTTGAAAAGTTTTTCAATCAAGTTTGAGTGATTACTTAGGCTGATTTGACTAATGAATTGAGGTGATTGGAAAATCTAATTTGACTAGGATAAACTTCAACTCTCACTCCTAAGGATCCCATATATATTAATTATAGACCCTAATTTATTCTCACTTCACTCATAAATTTAAAAATTCAAAAACATTATAATAGTTTTATTTTAGTAACTATTAGATAATTTTTATTGCTGTTTATCAAATTTTTAATATCATTCTACTTTGATAAATTTAACCTAGGTTGCCCACTAGTTACACTAGTGAAGCTTAATTTATTTAAGGCACTAACAACAAGTGCTTATCAATTTGCAACATTATTTATTATGACTTGCAACTTTATATCCCAATTTTATTTATGAACATAATTTTAATATTTATTTTTCTCTTGAGATGTTCAATTTCAAGAATTTGTAATCTACTTTATCTAATGTACAATTCTATTTACCTTAGTTTATAACTTGAGCTCCAAGTTTTATTTAAAAATTCATGAATAATTTTTTTTAAATAAAATTAATATTGAGATTTTATGTTCATTAAAAAAATTGAGATATAAAATTACAAATGCTTATAAATGACAAAAATATAACATTATAAATTCAAGGTTTGAAATCTTGCATTTTTAAATAAAATTTGAAACTTGAGAGTAAGCTGCAAACTTTTAAAATTGAATAAGTTATTTCTCTTGAGAAAAATAAATATTAATATTGTGTTCATAAATAAAATTGGAGTAGAAAGTTGTAAATCATAGTAGATGAAGTTATAAATTTAAGAGAGTAAGTTGTAAATTTTTAAAATTGAATAAATAATCTTATAAAATTCAATGTTAAAATTTTGGATCTTTTTTAAATTGTGTTCTTTAATTAAATTATGACATCGAGCCGTGAATCAAAGGGAGAGGGGTTTCTACATTTTTTTCCTTCTACTTCTCTCTACTTCCTCCATCCCCACCATTCAAATTATTTTATTAAATAATTTTTTTAAATAATAAAATTAATGAATGATGGAGATGGGAGAAGTGGAGGAAAGTGGAGGGAAAAAAAAGTGGAGAAACTCTTTTCCTGTGAATTAAAGTAAAAGAAGTTGCAAATTTTAGAAAATAAGTCATAAATTTGTAGGTTTAAAATTTTGTCAAAAAATCAAGGATGAAGGGACTTTCTTTATAATTTGAAATAGAAAAATCACATACAATAATTACCCAAATAAATTATTTACAGACAATAATTAATAATAAGTCATATTTTTATTTTAATAATAATTCATTTTATATTGATTCTTATTTATGAATAATTTTTTTAAATGATCCTTAAATATGATTTTTTTTTTTAAAATTTGTTGGGATTGTTCTGGAATAAAACAATTCATTTGGGGCTTAAGTCATTCTCTTAAAAAAATAACAAACAAACAAACAAACAAACAAACACACAAATGGTTAGACAAGTCCAGCGATCTAGACTTCATGAGGAGCAGGTGAGAAGGACCGATGCTCAGAGTAGACAAATGACAATCCAAGTAGGGCTTCGACCTAGCAGTAGGAGGCGCCTCGGCCTGGCTGTACCATTTTTTTTTTTCTGTTTTAAATTTTATTAGCTGGCTCTTTTTGTTTGTTTTGTTTTTCTAATCTTTTACCAAGATTCGTTGTTTCCTAAATTCCTGTGTTTCAAATGAAGATTAAAAAAATAAATAAATACTAAATAAAAATTAATTTTTATTATATACACTAATTTGTTCGCCATCATATATGCATTTGATATTATTAGTTATTAATTAATTAAAATAAAAATGTCCAAAGATTAATAACTCAACAAAAGATTAAGGAAATTATCAGACTTTCCAAAAGCATGCTATAAGTGGAATAAAGAAGTGTTTGGATTCATAAAGTACAAAAAAAAAAAAAAGATTACTTGCTCGTTTGGATGGAATAACAAGAAAATTAATGTTTTGTGTGCGTGGTAAGGGCCTAGAGATCTTCAACATGAACTTCGGCAAGAAAATGAGAAGTCATGGTGCAAGCAAATCTACTTTGAGCCTAAAAAGCAAGACAAGACTAGAGTATTCATGGCGACAAGAATACCAAATTTTTTCATCAAGTGGCTAATGGTAGAAGAAAACATAATAAAGTGAGTGCCATCTGGAATGAAAATAACAACTAGGCATTTGAAACTATTATGATTAAAACTATGCTTCCTTATTTGAAACTTTGTTTCGTGAATAAGTTGAGGATCGACCAGTGTTAAATTATTTCTAAGACATATCTGGCTATTCCAACTAATATGTTAAGAAACTTTAGGCAAGTTGTGACTGAGAAGGAGATTAAGGTGCATTATTTGATATGAGCGCCTTGAAAGCACTGGGACCATTGCCCTCTTCTTCCAGAGCCAATGGGAGCATGTCAAAAAATAAGTGATTTGCATGGTAAAACATCTTGTTAGTAATCCTATTGATTTGCATTCTATTAATGTTACCTTATTGTTCTTATTCCTAAAAAAGATCACCCAAACACACTTAAAGACTTGCATCTTATAAGTCTTTGTGATGTGATTTACAAGGTGGTGACCAAGATTATTATAAAGAGAATGAAAATTTTCCTCTCATTGATTATTAGTCCTTATCAATGTAGCTTTGTTCCTGGAAGACAAAGTTGTAACAATATCACTGTGGTTCAAGAAGTTATTCATACTATAAGAAATATGAAAAGTAAAAAGAGTTTCATGGCTATTAAATTTGACTTGAAAAAACTGTATGATATAGTCAATTGGCACTTTTTAAGGGATTATCTCTTTGAACTTTAATTACCAAGTCAGATAGTGAATCTTATGTGGAATTGTGTAACCACCTCTTCCACACAACTTATTTGGAATGGGGGATGAGCTGATTCATTCAAACCAACAAGGGGTGTTCTATAAGGTGATCCCATCTCTCCTTACCTTTTTGTGATTTGTATGGAGAAACTTGTCTATTTGATCCAGCAGAAAATGGATGATTGTGAATGGAAGCCAATCAAAGTTTGTAAGGATAACTGTCTTATCTCTCATTGGTTTTTTGTTGATGATATTGTTTTTTTATACAGAAGCTTCTCTTCAATAGTTTCATATGATTAATGATTGCTTAAATCAATTCCGTGAAAGTTCAGGACTTAATGTTAATATAGAAAAGACTAAGGTGTTCTTCTTCTTCAGTGTATCTTACCATATAAGCTTGGAGTTGAGTAATACTCTTGGTTTCTCTTGCACCTTGGACCTTGGCAATTACTTAGGAGTACCAATCCTTCACAAGCAAGTGCATAAGAATACGTACCAAGAAGATGTTGATAAGGTAAAAAAAAAAGATTGACCAATTAGAAGGCTAATTCACTCGTGCTTGCTAGGAGAACCATGTTGATCAATTCTGTCACTTCTAGTATTCCTACTTATACCATGCAAATAGCTAGCATTCCAACTGCAACATGTGATGAACTGGAGAGGGCAAATCAGAACTTCCTTTTGAGTACTACTAATGAAAAGAGGAAAGTGCATCTGGTTGCTTGGGATCAAGTATGTAGACCTAAGACTTATGGAGGACTTGGAATCCGGCATGCATAATAATAAAATCAATCTTTTTAAATGAAGCTTGATTGGGGTATTATAAAACATTGGGATAATTTTTGGCTTCAAGCTATAAGAAGTAAATGTAAATGTGATTTTGATATCCTTCCAACTATTAATAAGAGAAGACCAGGTTCTAATATGTGGTTTGGAATTAAAGCCACTTGGGATTTTGTTTGAATCAGGACTATTATTAATGAAGATAGACGTAATGCTAGTTGGAAGTGGAGTAATAGTGGCCAATTCTCAGCCAAGTCTACCCACGATAATGTGGCTCAACATACAATTGATTATGATAGCACTTGGAAGTGAATCTAGAAGTTTTAAGTCCCAGAATGCTATAAGTCTTTTTTATGGTTATTATATCATAACAAGTTGCTTATTAATGTAGGTTAAATGCAACATGGAATGCTTACGGGTATCCAGTGTGAGATCTGTTGGGATGTTGTGGAGGATCTCATCCACATCTTACAAGAGTGTCTAATCATAAAAAGTTTTTGGATGGAATATATTGCACATAAGGACAGAGTGAAGTTCTTTGGTGTGGATCTGCATGAGTGGATCAAATGGAATGTGCAATCCTAAAGAAAGAAGAGAGGCATTCCTTGAAGCTCTTACCTTTTTATTGTGTGTTGGCTCTTTTGGAGAAGACGGAATGAGAATATTTTTCAAGACAAAACCACTCTAAATGCTATTATCAATGCTCAGAGTCTAGCAATTATAAATACTTTTAAAGGGTATCATAGCTTATCCCTATCCTTATTAGAAGTTGGTACTCACCTACTGATGGATGGAATAAATTGAATGTGGATGGTGTATATGTTGTAATAGAGAATCTTTCTAGATGTGGTGGTTTGATTCGTAATAATAAGGAAGAATTTTAGAGTGGATTAATGTTTAAGATAAGTGATGGAGACCCACTACGTGCCAAGTTATAGGCTTGTTTGTGGGGGCTTAAAGTTACTAGGGATCTCTGGTATAGAAATATTATTCTTGAATCAAATTCCCTAAAAGCTATTGAAGCAATAAATGGAACAATCTCTCTTACTCAACTGGATTCTAGTGTTCTCTCTAAGATACAAGTCCTACTAAATCATGATCCGGAAGTACATGTTCAAAAGATCTCTAGATATGCTAATGAAGCAGTAGATTCACTTATTAAACAACAGATATTTAGAAGTCTAAATTAATTATAACATTTATTAATCAAAGCCCAAATTCTCCTTATCTATAAATAAAACATTAAAATCCTTAAAAGTAAGTCTACTTGTTGAAAGGGGAGGAATTTCAATGTTAATATACTCTTTAACCACTTCTTCCTCACCTACAATAAATATTAACAAAATTGTATCATTATTAAGTATATACACTTACATATATTACAAGACAAAATATTTAGATATCACAAGACAAAAATTACCACATAATGGTGGCACAAAACCATGAGGTGATCGCAGGCAATAGGGTTCATAAAGTTGAGTGAGGAGTGATTAGTGTTCACGATTTATGATTTCAGGCAAGCAAGTTCTTCTTGGCTTCAAACACATGTTCTACAAAAAATAATATAACCAAACTTAAAGAGCCGCCTAAGTTTGAGTTTTTTTTACATGACTTATCAAGGCCAAACTCTCAAACCCGATTATTTAAAAAATTAATTTTTAAAATATGAACTCTTATTTAAATAGGGTCTTTAGGCATGACCTTTATTTTTTACTTTATGTCCTAGCGAAGAAGACCTTATCATGCATAATTAGGTTTCATCCTTTCAATTTTCTTCCTTATTACTTAGTCCTTGCGATATAGCGGGACATTCTTACTATTGTGCAGATTATTTTTCTTTGTTATAAAAAAAATGCTTGAGTTTAACGATCGCGTAAAATAACGCAATCACAACTATGAGCTGTCACTCAATGTTCTTTACTCTTTAGCACTGTATATTGCAATGTTTACCCCAGCATTTTTAGGCCTTTCAAAGATAGATTTTCGGTCTCCATTAAACTAGTTTGATATGTGAGGGAAGAATTATTTTTTACTTCAAAATTAAAATATCAAACAAATCTAAGATAAATTCAATTTTTAAAATAATTTATTTTAATTCTCTTGAATTCAAATTTACATATAGTTTATCATGACAATATAAATCCAACACTTAGATTTCAAATGGAATAGCTCAGTTTTTTTTTAATTTATATAAATCTTGAATTTATGATGTTACTCGGTAAAAGTAAATATTTCCATTCAATTTCAACCCCAACCATCTTTAGTTCATCTTATAATTACACATGAAAGTTAAACATGATATTAAAAAAATTCGAATTTTAGAGCCACTCAATAACCTTGTTCAAATATTTATAAAAATTCTTATTTGTTAATAATTTTTGTCTGATATTTTTTTAAAATTAAATTCAACCGAGGTTATCTAAAACAAATTTGAATGGACTCGATACTATAATAATGTTCTGAATTCGCATTGTTGTTTTTTTTTTAAATCATTAGTATTCGTAATACTAATTATTTAACAAAGAAGTACTAATAATATTTTCGAAAGTCATAAATAAATTAACCATTCTAATATTGTACTTGCATTCTGAAATTATAACTATTAAAATTATAATTCATAATAAATATGAATAACAATTTTAAAAACACCAACAAAAACTCTTTCAGAGCAAGCATTATTTCAAATAGACCATTTTAAAGTGAACATTTCTTACACTAGGAAGTTTTGGGTTTACTGAGAGACAGCATGAAAGATTTTGAACTTTAGTTATATATTAACCCTGTCAAATAAAAATTCTATAATTTTTTTGGGTTTAACTGGATGTGTGTGTGTGGAGAGCTTTTTGGACAACTACCAAAATAAAAGAATTGTACAGCTTATGAGTTGTAAACTATAACTGTTCACCCATCTAAATAATGTCTTGTAATTGCTTGCAGTGGCAGAACAAGTGGAAGAATGACACGATTCACAAATTTGCACAGCATATTGTGAAGGATATTCAATAACACGAAGGATAAAGATGGACCAGATGACTGGCACCTAAAAATACAGAGAAGAAAAGAAGAAAAAAAAGAAAAGAAGGGGCATGAATTTAACAAGCGTCTAACATGATGAACAAAATTTGTGTTCATCAGAATAATTGACATATGAGAAATATAATCAAGTGGATTCCCCATTGTCTCAGCGTCTGGCAGCTAAAGTGAAGCCCAAATCTGAACAGAACACAGGAACGAGTGATGAAGCCATCGATGTTTGATGCTTTACTTGAAGCTCTTCAGGTAAATCAGCCGATCAGAGTACAGTTTCTTCAAGATTTTCAGGAAATGATAGCTCAATGTGATTGCTCCAACTCAAAGAACTTGGCTTTAACATAGCTGGAAAAACAGGCTTGTTGATCCATCACCGAAAGACCGAATATCACCAGCCTTCACCAATGCCCGGCATAGTGGACAAGTTCTTTCTCTGTCAAGCCTGAAACAAGTTTCTCCTTGTTGGTCAAAAGAGAAGTTGTAATAAAAATGATCATGACGAAACCAGAATCACAATTACACATTCAGTATGTATCTCGTATAAGGAAAATGAGTGTCTAAAATGCTTTATATTTGATATATTACTCGTGAGCAAGGGGGGAGAAAACTAATCACATGTGAAAGTTTCTTAGCCAGAGGAATCCATTACTTAACTGCAATAGTCGCAAGCTCATTTCTTGCCTATGCGGATCAATTCTATTATGGAAATTGGCTTTAAAAAGCTATTCCCTATGAGTTTATACTTCGGTGTAACATATATTGAGGAGTCCTATTGAAAATTTCAAGATGAAAAATAAGAGGAAGTTATGAAACTGACCATTCTGACACACACTCCTCACAGAAAATGTGTTTACAGCGCAACAGGATAGGACCACGCATCTTCTCCTGGCATATAGCACAAAGGTCACCCGCGGCATTTACCTGCATTTGAATGTACTTGTTTAGAACCATACATGAAAAAGTTTTGTATTCAATAATTTTATTCAGTCAATATATTCTCTCTTTCCCTCTCAGAAAATGCTAAGAAATTTCTGTCTATGAAACAGTACTTGGGTTTCCCTTCACAATTTCTGTCTATGAAACAGTACATGATCATGTCATGCACAAATACGTTTTGGGACATAGGTTAGCTTAAAATAAAATTTGTAGAAGCAGATAATATTAACTTTATGTAATTTCTTCCCCTGCTTTTCATGAAATTGTGTTTAGACTTTAGAAGAATCATAAGAAGGAGCAGAAGGAACAGTGGCTTCTCATAGAATCAATGATTTCAACAGAAAAGTCCTGGCTTGGTTTATTGAGCCTTTTTATTTGAGTTTGAGGTACTTATATAACCCATCAAATGCAAAAGAACACAATCTAATCAAAGTCACGTACAATCTGGCAGGATAAGTAGGATCCCCAAGAAGTCAAGAACCAATGATTCTATAGATCCAAACAACCTACAACAATTCTGTAAAATCCTAAATGAAGACAAATTCAAATTTGCGGCAAAAGACTTTGCCATGGTTGCATAATCATACAATCCAGAATTTGATTTTAATAACAACTATAATATCCCTCTATAATTGAATGTTCCGAATGAACTAAAGTATAAAAAAGTGAAGCATTTTTTGAAGTTTCACAAACACCAAAAAGTACTTATAAATTTCTTAACACATCACTAAATAGGTTAGTTATTTTATTTAATAGTTTTTTTAGAGACAAACCATCCTGATTCCAAAGTTATTGACTCATCCAGATTCAAACTTAACTAACTACAACAAAAAAATTGGATCTTTACCTGTTCCTTTGTAGCATAAACACCATAAAGAATATCCTTGCCTGACAATGCTTTTAATGCAGAAAAGAAGCATTGGACCTATTTAGCAAATAGAAGATTAAATACAATGGAATAATTCAGCTTCATACAGAAATATCTTCAAATACAGAACTAACCCAAATCTCAATGGATGAAAAAGTACCTTCTCAACAATAGATGTTAACTTGAAAGTTAGGTACAACCCTGTGGTCAGCGATGAAAAGAGACTTCCATATTCCCTGTTTAAGAAAAATCGGTACCAAACAGGTGCTGGCAACAAGGTACGGTACAGCAGCATTGTGTGCTCAACCAGAGTTAATATTTGAGCCTTCAAAAAAGTAGCTAACTTTCAGAACATAGTTGGAGAGGAAAATAAACTTGAACAAAAATAGTCAAGATGCTAGTAATCCACCTGCAGACGGAAGCTGTGACCTCTGTCATTTTTGAAATATATAAGTAGCAAACACTTCAAAGACATTGCCGCTTGCCGCACAAGCATGTCTGAAAGTCATTATACCAGTGAGTTGGCAACCATGAACACCATCAAGAATTATAAAATCAAGACCAACATAATACTAGTAATAATTGGTGGGCATAATATACATATATTTTTTTAAAAAAGGGACAAAAGGCACAGATAAAGCATATTAATATCTGAATAGATTCAAAAAGTTGTTGCAAAAAAAAAAAATATATAGACTGAAGCAAGTGGCTAAATGATATGATGTTTAAGACAACCATAACCAGAAAAGAAAAGGGGGGGAAATGATGCTATCACAGGTAAATGATTAACTTTTGAGATTTTCATGAACTAGAGACATGTCAACATGCGCACAAAGATATAGTCTTGCAACAAATTTATTCATCTTCCACCAATCTCTTACTGCATGGCATACAGGAACTAATGAACCCCCCAAAAATTGTAGAAAGCTCAGTTTCAATCCAAATCATGTACTATGAACATTGATTTCATGCCAACACGTGGGCTTAAAGCAAGAACCAATGTCTTACACAAATTCCATAGAGCAATTGAATAACTTTATGCTATAAGTATAGATACTCATACCGTTAACCAGAACGATGAATATTGCATGCCAGAAATGAGGTGTGGTTTTTGGAGGAAGCAAGAAGAGTGGTGGGCACAAAAGATCATCATCTTGGTACCACCAGTAAACGCCTATCACATGGCTCATGAAGAGAAATGACATACTGATAAGAGCTGAGACTTTCCTATCTCCCTGTAAAAAAAAATGTATTGAGCCTCATTTTTTATTTTCTACATTTTCTGTAAGGGAGCTACAAGGAGTTAATAGGTTAGGAAATGGAAAATGACTTGTAAAAGTCTGACAACAGTACCTTTAGAGCTGTCTGCTTCTTAACCATTTCATTTGACTTGAACATCACGATTGAAATCCAAATTGTGACGATGAAACCTGCAAGTTTATAAATTAATATTACCAACCTATTTTGAAAGCAGTAAAAGTACATAATTAGAGGAAACTGAAGCCATACATGAGAAGCAGCTCATCAAGCACAACTATTAAGATAATTGAAAAGTAACCATATCATATATTTTCCTACTCAGAAGGGAATAATGGGATGCAAAAGAGAAGAAAAGACAACCTTACAAGAAAGTAAGTATGGGAATAGCAAACTGATCTTAGTTAATTAAGTATAATTCTAATCCACTAAGGAATAATGATTAATAAAACACGAAAGACTTGAAAAATATTGCTTGACTAAATCTAGAAATTTCTCTTCTCCTTGCTTTTAGAAAAGCAGCAAAGTCCATATTAAGGTGGGACACCACTAAGATGGAGAAGCAATAAAACATGTAGTGTTGTAGTTTTCTATCTTTTCTGCCTTCCTTTATGAGTAAGATTAATGTTGTAGGCCAAAACAACCTTTTTTAATTTCAAATGCAACTAACCAAGAACAGCAGAAATTTTACAGGGTATTACATGCATTAATCACACAAATTTATAGCTTCCATCCCTTAGAGGCCATGCATCCTCTCCTTGTCAAGCCATTATTCCAACAGCACCAAGAACATCGCACAATAAGTCACAACAAAAAGGTCAAAGCTTCCCACACATCGAGCAGGCAAGTTATTCAAATGCATCATTGTCGAGAAGTCCATGTCCAATCTCCATACTGTATTGGTCAGGATCTCTGTTATCATTGAATCTAGCATATCCTAACCCTCAGTAACTATTTGTATATAACTAGGCAAGGCAAATACTAGTAACAAGTAGGAAAGTAAATATTATTCATAATTTTATTGGAGCGTTTAAGAGATTTACAAGCCAAAAATAGCATCAGAGATACAAAAGGGGATGAATGAGAAATATCACCTTGCAAATGCTGGCGAATGAACACAACCAACAACAACAGCGAGAAAGGAAGAACCTGTTCGAGCCATTTAGCAAGTTGCTGAAAATTATAACTTTCGTGAGACGATAAATCCCGAAGGTTACTTTCGGGGCCATTCCCAGAACCAGTGTCTTCCTGCCCACTAGTACTACCTGCTAGAGACGATGATGAGGACACAAGAGGAGTTCTCTCACCAGCCGTAATTCCATTGCTACCATCAGCATCCTCGTCCAGCACAGGCATTCCACCTTCATTTCCCATCAAATCATCGTCTACAGACTGATTTTGAGACGACGAAGAAACCCAACCCAACCCTGCATCGTGATTCTGTTCAACTGCTCCACCAATTCGTATCGCAACTTCCCCTGAACACCTATCGCTGCGGCCACTACAAACGGTTGCAGCACTAGAATCCAACGAAGAGGTTTGACGGTCAGGTCGTAATTCAGAAGCAGCAACTTCGTTGTTGTCAATCACAGACTCATAATAGCCAATTGAAGAGCTCGAGCGGAGACGGCCAGAGTATTCCAGTAAAACGGACAATGGAGAAGGCAACCGCACTCCATACCACGTTCCACTTACAGAACTGGCAGTGCTGTTTCCATCAGTCGTATTTACAACCCCGGCAGATGACGATGACGAAGAAACGGCGTGCCGGTCTATATCATCAAGCCCTGATGTTCCCATCTTTTAGACGCAAAATTAAAAGCCTAATGTTCACTTTACTTGGTGATTGATCTTTCTTATTCTTTGCACTGTACTAAACTGTGGTGTTTTTCTCCCGGATGTAACACGAACCAAATATCTTTTTTTAAAAAAAAAAACCTCTGAAAGGGCAATAGAATTTATAGTGAGAGGCAGAGAGAAAAAGAAAAAGCAGAAACTACTTGTATCTATAAACAAAAAGGAAACCAATAACATGGAAGCAATAAATGAATGGGGACACATTACCTAGAGATTAAGCCAAAAACAATGAAAGAATAAAAATCAGCCGCGACGGTCTGAAACTGTGAAACCGAGTTAAATTTCGAAAGTGGCGGAAGACGAAGGAGCAGAGTCAAAGCGAGGGAGCTGATACCATGCCGATCCTTTTCTTGTCTTTAATAAGCTTCGAGGTTCGAGCCGTGTGTGAGCGCGTGAGAGAGAGAGGGGGAAGAGAAGAAGCGTGGAAAAAATCAAGGTCCCGTGGCGAGGTGGAAGACTAGGAAATGGAAACGCGTTCAAACAGACATTTTCAGAGGTTCTTTTCTTGGGTTTCGCCATTCCAGCCGATGAAAAGGGTCTTCTCGCCTTCTTTATACTTTCCACTTTCTTCCCTTTTTCGCAAAATTTTTGGGAGCCATTTTTGTTGCCTTGGCTGTCACGGTTATATTATTCCAACATCCCCAACAACTTAACAATTCATTTTCATTATTATCTGTTATTTTATTTTGTAATCATCCTGCAATAAAATCAGACTAAGCACCGATTAGGCTGACTTAATTAACTTACTGAGTCATACATATTTTTTAGAATAACTAATATAATCATAATAATAATTCGCGATGTCTTACCTGGAAAAAATCATTTGACTGATATTTTATTTGAATATGAATTTCATTAATAAATTGCATTCCAAGAAAGAAAATCTTTTTTCCGTAACACTGGTATCGACTGCGACATGCGTTTTACTTTTAAATGTCATCGTCATCTAAACTCCGGATGATTTTTGTGACTTCGTACTTGTGATTCTTTAGAGGAATTTTTTATTTCTCAATATAAAAATATAAAATATTTGATAAAATATTAATTATATTTTTTAATATTCATTTTATTTAAATTGATTAATTATAAAAAATATAATGCAATTTTAAAATTTTTTCATTTAAAATAACTTTAACAATCACTTATTGTTTTGGTGGGATAGTTAAAAATTCTTTATAATAAAAAATTTAAAAAGTATACCTCATTAGCTTATTAGAACAGCCATAAATAAAGGGATCATTTGTTTCAATTTTTTAATAAAATCTGGTAAATAAAAGGATCATTTGTTTCAATTTTTTTAATAAAAATCTGGGGGTGCTGTAATATTTACATATTTTTGCCTGGATTATCATTCTATATAAATTGACATATTTGTTTAAGATTTAAAATAATTATTTTATGTTTGTATCTTTATTTCTTTTTTATAATATATTTTTATATTTCATATTTTTTTAAAAAGTTTCAATCTATTTTTTATAAGGACATGTTCTTTTATCTACTTAGATTTGTTCAGAAGCTACCCAAAAATAAATATTACACTACAAAGAAATAGATTTTTTTTTTACCGTGGAAATAACAAAGAAACAATTAAACAAAATTGGAAAGCTACGATAACTCGTATACGTATTTGATTTATTAAAAGTTAAAAGATGTGTGTGTGTGTATGGATATGTATTTTGTGAAAAGAAAGATATATAATGCATTATGAAGAAATTTTCTTCCTTTCTTATCCCAATCAATAAATCTCTCAGAACAACATTTTTTTTTATTTATATAAGATTTGAATCAATAATCTATAATTTTTCTTAAGTGGAACAATTGAGGGACAAAATTTGAACAAATCATGGTTAGATTGGTTAAGGACTTTCATTTTTTTAAAATTTTAATATCAATGAAACCCTACAATGTTGCATACTTCAGTTAAAAAATAACAATAACAGCCTCATATAGTGGGAGTTTGGATTAATTTAATAGAAGGTGGTAATATCTTCAAATTTTCTATAATACCAGACAATTAAAAAAAAATCGCATATGAGGTCATACTTCAGTTTAAAAATTCATAAAAAAGTAAATTTACATAAATGTAAAGATGTTCACTGTGAAAAGAATTTATCCGAGCCAGTCGAGTCGAGCCCGAGCCTTGATCCATCGGGGTTCAATAAATCCCGTGGTGGCCCACTGTTTGAGTCGACCTACCCATAAATTAAGGAATTCATAACTCATGTTGTTTTTTTGGGTCAAAACATAACTCATATTGGGGAGCCCATCTTTAATGACCAGCATGGACAAAGCCCAAGAACACTCATTATTTTGAGTTTGGACCTAAGAAAGCCCATCCTAATTAGATCCACAACCCATTCATTCTCTTAACCAGGAAGCCCTACGCAGCTGCCTCTATATATATTAAGCATTTTAGGGTTTTTTCGTTCCTACATCTGGCGAACGCTAATCGCCTGTCGAGAGAGTCGCCATGGGGAGGAGTAAGCTTCAATCTATCTCTGAAGTCGATATTTATTAATCGTCTTATCTTGGCCTCATCTCTCCTTGTAATCTGTTTGTTGCTGTTTTCGCTGTGATAGTTCAAATTTATATGTAGTCATATGTGGCTTCATCTGCGCTATATTTGCTTTCGTGATGTTTATTTCTTAAATATTCCTGCTATTCGATCTGCGCACATTACAATTTGGTATGTTACACAGATTGGTATCTTTTCTGGGTTCGTCTTGCGTATTTATTAAACGAAGCTGCTTATGGAGTTTTCTGTTTGAAGTTTGATAATTTTGTTGTTAAGTGTCATCAGAAATTAATAGGGTCATTGATTTTGCACAGACCTAGTTATGCTCTTGACATGTTAGAATCTCAGTGGTCTCAATTGGTTTCTTTGAAATATGAGCTTGTGTATTTCTGTTCGGCTGAGTGCCAGCGAAGGAATTATTTCGAATACCGCGTGACTTTCTGACTCTGTATCGACATGGATCTACCAAAATTTCAATTGCCTTCATGGTCCCCAACATTTTAAATTCTTTTTAGGTGCGTTAGAATTCTTACATGATAGTCATACAAGTGCTGGCTATCACTACTGATAACTTTCCGAATCAATTCATAATGAGTTTCTTTATTTTTTCATGATTGTGCTCCTATCTCCCATTACCATGGGGTATCTATAAATTTCTGTGCAAGCTCAAATTTCTGAGCTGGTGTGACTAGGTTTTTCAGTTGGATGATGCTTCAGTAGCATTGCAATTCAGTTCCCTGCATTTCCCATGGTTGTCATTGTTTATTTATGATGGCTCATGGTCTAATTTTATGATTATTCAATGCGTTGTTATTTTTTGGCAAGATTTTAAAGGAAACTAATTGTCTGATTGTATCCCTAAATGATGCAGGACCAGCAAGGTGCTACAGGCAAATAAAAAACAAACCTTACCCAAAATCACGCTACTGCCGTGGTGTCCCTGATCCTAAGATCAGAATTTATGATGTTGGGATGAAAAAGAAAGGTGTTGATGAGTTTCCTTTCTGCGTCCATCTTGTTAGCTGGGAGAAAGAAAATGTTTCGAGTGAGGCACTGGAAGCTGCTCGGATTGCATGCAACAAATATATGGCTAAATTTGCTGGAAAAGATGCATTCCACTTGAGGGTTAGAGTACATCCATTCCATGTTCTTAGGATTAACAAAATGCTTTCATGTGCTGGAGCTGATAGGCTCCAAACAGGGATGAGAGGTGCATTTGGAAAGCCCCAAGGAACATGTGCTAGAGTGGCCATTGGTCAGGTTCTTCTTTCTGTGCGTTGCAAGGACAGCAACAGCCATCATGCTCAGGAAGCCCTCCGTCGTGCCAAGTTTAAGTTCCCTGGTCGCCAAAAGATCATTGTTAGCAGAAAATGGTATGCTTATCTCATTGCGTTCTCTTGTGGAGGCATTTCAACATGAATTTGTTGGATGTTAAATTATCACAACAGTCTTGTTTGTGTTTTGCATTCCTAATTTGTTTGGAATTTTGAATATATTTGTTTATTTTTTTAAATATATTTGAATTTGAATAAATAATTGTCTTTCTCAGATGAAATTCTGATAGTGTTTTTAAAGATTCTTTTCCAAAATGTTTTGATCTGAGATACAAATATCGAAGAATGCGTTGTACTGGAATCTTGAGCTCCTGAATGTGCTCATCAATGTCAGTTAGAACCAGAGTAGTCTGTCTGATATAGAAGAGCGCCTGTACTGGAATCCATAGCTCCTGAATGGCCTAATCAATATGAGTTAGATTGACAGTAGTATCTCTGCTGTGCCTAATCAATATTAGTTAGATTTTCAGTAGTTTTGTTTCAAGATTTTGTCTGCCTTTAGTAACGATGGAAAAAAAAAGAATAATGCCCTGTACATAATCCATGAATTGTTGGAATAATTCGTTAGGTATTTTGGTTGTTGAAAGGATAACTTATTTAGAATATTTTGATTTGAGAAACAAATGAAGAGTAACACCTTGTATATGTGCCTGTGAATCTATGGATTTTTCTGTGTAGTTGTCGAGTTAGATTTGTTAGCCGAAAATTGGATGGGTTTGATTTCGGTGTCACATTTACTATCTGGATGACTGGCATGTTTGGTTTAACAGAATGATCAATTCATCGATCTTCTAACTTTTTTTTCAGGGGCTTCACCAAGTTTAGCCGTACTGACTACGTGAAGTTTAAGTCAGAGAACAGGATCATGCCAGATGGCGTAAATGCTAAGGTAGTGTGAATTTTGTTCTTTTACTGTAGCTGAAACTTTGGGGAATGATCTTTTCCTCCATTCTGAGGAATGGAAGGATTCATATAGTACAAAACTTTGAACACTGGCCTGTGTTTCATTCCATGTTTTATGTCCCCTGTTTTCGGCTTATTGGAGGTTGGAGCTTACCTTTTCCTTCTGGATTTTCCAGCTTCTTGGATGTCATGGACCTTTGGCTAACCGGCAGCCCGGAAGAGCCTTCCCGCCCACCACTGCTTAGGCCGTCGTTTTCATACTTGGACCAGCATAATTATTAAAGACTGAATTTGAGTGTTATTTGTTTTTGGTACTGCTAAGAGTTAACTTCCGTTTGTGCGAACTTTTTAAGTGGAATGAATTTTGTTTTATTTGTTAGGACCATCGTTTTGTTTCTTGTCAATGAATTGAATTAAAGCAAAATTGAATATTCAGTTACTTATTCAACAAATAACTCGTATCTGGCTATTTTGACCCCAAAAAAAAAAATTAGTATCGGGCTATTGAAATCCACACTCCACACCAGATCTCGAGTTTATTCAAATATATGATGTTGGTCAAGTTGAATGGGTTGACATTGCGGGTGGAGATTGGAAATGTTAGTTAAGTTATGAGAAAATCTGATTATTTTCGGCTCGTTTTATAATTTATCCAAGGGTCTAATCTTGTCGGCCCGAAACTAGACCGAAGTTTCTGATATAGGACCTTAATAACGGGCAAGATAGTTAATGATCGGCTTTAACTTAGTCCCTTTGCAAGTGACGATGGGTTTGCCTTTATCCTGGTGGTTGTGACCTTGTTTTGCGTCTGGTCATGTCACAAACAATAATTATTGCTTGCATTCTGAGCAGAGGATGAGGTAACCAGTAATCACCATGAAAAGAACTTTGTGGTTTCTCCCGAATCACGCTTTTGGCGAATCTGTCCGGTTATAGCCTTGTGCATGTTTAGCGACTGAGAAATAAAAATACCCTTGTTTCGTTAAGTTAAAAATGAAATACACCATCATTTGATTAACCCAGCGAGGCACGAGAGTTGAAATTGATAATCTGGTTTTCACTGTATGGCAGCTGAATGAAATTTGAAAAATGCAACATAATAAAATGACTAGATTTCATGACACAAACGATCTTCAAAAATGGGAATTCGAAGTTGAACCTTAAGGAGAAGTACCTGTCTTGGAAGGGAAGGACCGAAAGGCCGACTTGAATTTTAATACCCAGCATTTCTCACCCGTCCTGGTGGTGGTTGGCGGCCGAATTTCATTCCCGATGTCGAAAGCAATCCATGGTCTCCTTCGGCGACGTGACGGGATCAATCACCATCTTCATCGGTTGAGTTCCCCATCTCCAGTATGCAGGCCAGCTCCACGGGTTCCATCACATGCCTACAGTTTGTTCCTTGGTACACAATCGAAGTTCTTCTCCTCTCACTCATTTGCTGCGAAGCCCGCCTCCTCAATTGGGACATTGTCCCGATTTTTCTATTCATCGGAGCAAAATCCCCTTTCTTCTGTGATTCGCGCTTCGCGGAACTACTACGCTTCTGCTAGCCGTAATCCTCAGACATTCTCTTCCAGGAGGCCGGTAATTCCTATACAGGGCGACAGCTATGCTGGGTTTCGCTCCTTTTCCTTCAAATCTTCAGATTTGGGTAAAGTCAATGGAAGTTTCGCGAAAAAGGTTATCGCTAAACCGGTGACTGCAGTGCGTTCTGCTTTCTCCCGATACAGTGAGGCTTTTGGTTTGCAAATTGAGGCATTCTTTAAGAGGAATTACCTGTTTCTACTTGGGGCTGCCGGTGTTATGGTTTGTGCGCTGCTCTGGAGGGTCATGTTTGGGATTGCAAACGCCTTCATTGGGCTTTCGGAAGGCATGGCTAAGTATGGGTTTCTTGCCCTTTCATCTGCTATCGTAGCTTTTGCTGTAAGTTCTTTTAATTGTCCTATGTACTGTATTTTGTTGGGTTTGTATCGCCTGAACATTCCTTGCTTTTCTGACGTGATCTGTTCCATTACTAAACGTTTAATATAAAAAAAAATATACCTGTTAGTTAGGTTTGTCTCGACTTAGATTAGCATTCCTCCTGCATTAAGAAGCAGATTAATGTTGTATGGAATACCAAGAGCTATGACTGTTTTATGTTGCGAGATGTCTACAAGCTTTTCCTGAACATGTTAGACCTGTAAGTATAATATGTTCCCACATACAAACTGGACTGCATCTTCAGAGTGTTAGTCAGTTAGCAGAGGGATAACGTAAGCAATATGAAATGCAGCATCTATAGCCACCATTAAGCCAATGATCGGTTCTTACTTCTCAAATTGTCACTCAAAAGAATTGTTTCCTGCTAACCTTTGCTCAATTGATTGGTGGCGGAAATGCTATGTTCGATTGTTTTCTGCTTGCATTATGTCTATACATGATATTTCAATATTTGTTTTCCAGGCTTTTCAACTCTGAGACAATAAAGTCTAGGCTACGCTTCACCTATTTGTTAGAGGTGCATGTTCATAACGAATATTTAAAATCATGGGATGCTTGCTAGTTACTGTTATGAAGTTCAGCGCGAGCATGCCTGTGATGCCAAATTGTTGATCTCATAATTTCTGCATCAAACTGCTAGTTATCTTCCTATGCACCCCTTTTGGACTGTTGATCAATAGCATATTCCTTATAGTCACTATCCAATTGGTTGTGGCTATTCCCAATTGTAAACTTTTGTGCATAGTGATGGTACAGTGGTACACTCCTAAATGTTCTTCCTCAGAAAAATTTCAGAGCTTTGTGTTTACCACTATGTGGGTTGCTGCTGATGGGACTCGTTTCTACTTGCTAATAAATCATGCATTAGTTTATGGATCATTATCTAATATCTTTAGCACTTTGCGTTTTCAAGGGCTTGTACATTCGCTCAAGATTCACAATCAACCCAGATAAAGTATATAGAATGGCCATGACAAGACTTAACACTTCTGCTGGGATTCTTGAAGTAATGGGTCCCCCCCTTTCAGGAACTGATCTAAGAGCCTATGTGATGTCAGGAGGTGGGCTTACAATAAAGAAGTTCAAGCCAAGTATTAGGAGCAAGCGGTGTTTTCTCATTTTTCCCATAAGAGGTTCTGAGAGAAAGGGTCTAGTCAATGTTGAAGTCAAGAAAAAGAATGGCCGGGTATGATTTAAAGTGTCCTATTGTATCCTGAAATTGCTGCATTGAGTCTGGCTAATACGGATGTGTGTCGTATCTCCCATACTGTTTACACACTGTCTTTCAACATCAAATTCTGCAATTTGGTCATCATAACTGGGGCATATTTTGCATCTCCATGTTCTTGAGGCTTGATGTTTGTTAACCACATGCTTGTTTTCTTGAAGAAGTAATATCTGGTATCCAATGTGACATGCTAACTAAGCATTATGTCCTCTTAAAGCATATACAATGTTCCCAGTACGTGGCTGATTGACGAGTGTGTGCTACTTGGTGTGTGGAAGGGTTATGTACAAATGCAAATGCTTGGAATAGATGGGTTGAAAGTAACTACAGGCTATGACTTGAATTAGCGTGAAGCAAGAAATAGATTTTTGTCCCTGAATAGATGCACAAGCATGCTTTAAGCATGAATTTGCAGTCACGTCCAGAAAGAATTAAGGGCCAAAAAAATAGAGACCTTAAGATCTTGAAGTCACTGAGAAAAGATAAGCCACATCTTTGGCGTGTTCATGATTTACACCAATCTTGGGGGCACAAATTATTTCAATGCTCCATCTTATTTATAGGCATATATCAGTATATATCTTAGAGATGATAGAGCAGTAGACTAATTTGAAGGAAAGATTTTGAATGAGTGAAGCATGACTAGATTCTTTCTTTCTTTTCTTTTTCTCTTTTTGGGAAGAGGTGTCAGAGGTGATAGAGCAAGAGGCTTCTGCCACCTAAATTGAAATTAAGCACAGAACAACTAGGAAATTCGATTGATGCAATACTGGATAATACTCGTTCATTCAAGAGCAGAAAACATGTATTTATGAGACAAAGCAGTCATACACTCAATACAAAATGCGAAAATGAGGAAAGGAAAACCAATTCTAGCATTCAAGGACAGCTCTCACCCACAGAATCCTTCACCAAAGTCTTCACACCAACTGACCTACCTGCAAGCAAAGCCCCCTCAAAATAACCTACTGTCTCATTCTCACTCTTCCAGCTTCCCGTAGGCCCATACTTCAGCAGAAGTAAAAAAACTAGTTATCGCCTTGGGTTTTCCTTTTTACCCCTCCTTCCTCCCTGGTCTTCCTCTTGCTCTTCCAGAATACGTTTTCAACCTATTACGTGGGCCTTAGTGTTCAGGGCCAATCTCCTGCTTATCCTCCTCCCCCTTGTTATGTTACCCACTATATATTTTAATGGTATTGGCCTAGAAAACTCTTCAGGGCTCTCATAAAGAAGTGTTTGCCAAAGGCCTTTGGGCCTTCATTTATGCTCAAGATCCCCCTGCAGGTTCTATGACTAGAACGGAGTTTTGTTTGTCCTCAGCAACAACCCCTAGATGCTTCCTAACAGTTGACTTTGATATTACCCATGATTTCCATACAAAGTTTGAATGGAAGTGTACCGCACCTCTACTTATTCTTATATTGCTTAGCCTGAAAATACTTACTGGACGTGAAGAGATTTATTAGCAGCTCTGTTTATATAGAACAGAGCTGCCAACTGAATGTACATTGTTGAGATGGACTTCTGCACGCCCCCTCATTCACTGGTTGAGCTGTTTGCTGTTTGTAAAACCCTATAGTTTCAGCTTGGTGAACTCTCCTGTGATGCAAAAGGCCAAAAAGTCAGCTTGAGTGCTCTCGGTAGTCAGTACTCTGCTATTATTTATAGTATTGTTGCTCCTCTTCTATCCAAAAATATGAAGATGTTAGAAACTAATTTGTTTTGTGCCTGCACCTTATTTTTAGTAATTTCTTTTGAGCAAAAACCTGTTCTTTAGATTAGTTGAGGAAAGTTTTCAAGGACTAAAGGAGATGAAAGTGCAAAACTTATGTAGCCTTTGCTGTAATCTATCTACGCAGTATGATATGAAGCTGTTGGCTGTCGATGTTCCCATGGCTTCAGGCCCAGACCAGCGGTTGTTTTTGATTGGGGATGAAGAAGAATACAGAGTTGGCGGGGGACTAATATCCGTGTTAAGAGATCCTGTAGTGAAAGCAATGGCAGCAACCAAAGAATTTGATGATCTTGACCTGATTGAAGAAGAGGAAGATGCTGAAAGAGAACGTCAGGAGGCTGAAAGAAAGCACCGTGAAGAAATTGAAAAGCTGGAAAGCAGTGGCACTCAGTAATAGTTCTATGTCTAATTTCTGGTTTTAAATTTAATCTATTGATCGGTTATCTAAATTTGTTTGAAGGATGCTGAGGCTTCAGTTGTTTGACTGAGTTGCATGGTTGTGGTTTAGAAATTAGAACCCATTTTGTTTCAGCTTGAGTTTCAAGCTAGGTTACTTCACGACATCTTGTACCGCAAATTGCCGATTTTATCCGAACCAAGGTTGAGAAACTAAAGCATAAACGGGTTGCCGTGCATAATAAAGGTTTTGATATTTGCCTCAAGTCTTTTAACCTTTATGAATGGTCGTTACTGTTTTAGAGTTTAATGTGTTTCCTCACAGCGTTGGCCTATATTTATCCAAATAGAGATGTCCAGTTTTGTATTTGGTAGAAAAGTGTCTATTATCTCTGTTATGTCAGCATGATAATTGCTGACGAGTTATGACAGCCCGACTTGCTCATTGAAGTTCCATGAGTGAGGGAGGATCTCGAGGTTGGATTGTGACAAGAACAACCTTCTTGCTTAATTGATAAGTCATCACACGATTGACCCCATCATCGTCTATGCACTATCAGAAATGTGCCAACTTTTTCATGTCACTTGTGCTCAACATGTGTTTTTCCTACTTGTCTGCTGGGCTATTACCCCATTAAGAGTCAAGGTCTTTCTGTTCCTCTCAGGTTCATTAGCGACCAGTTTGAAGAAGACAAACCAACCAAGCATCAAGAGAATGAGCCAATGCCCAACGGACGGTTTGAGATTTTGGCAAGTAGGGCCGGTTCCGAGCGCCTCCTTCCTTCGGAAATCCAGGTTAAGTTTGACCAAAAACACAAAATCCAAAATGAAGGTCTATCTTTTTGCTGAGTTAGTTAGATTGGTGCTGATTTGCCTGCCCACCATGTTATATCATGGCTCACTTGAATCCATGTGCGAAACATTATGATGGTTTTCGATGTTGAATATGAAGTCAAAACAAACAATGATGTCGGTCACTTTTCTCCTTTGAATCTCAAATTTTACTTTCACCAAAGGTTCCAACCACTTCATCTCCCGCTGGGCTTCTACCGATGTTTCATATGTTTGTAGTGCCCTTTGAATCTTGGAAGTTTGTACTAAACATTTTTTTTATCTCAAATTATAAGATATTTTAAAAAAAATTTAATATCTTAAAATATAAAACATTTTGATAAAAATAAAATTTTATTAATGATATTTTTTCAATATTACCTTTCTCATATATTCTCTCTCTTTAATATTCTTTTACTTCTTTTACCAATGGAATATTAAATGAAGAATATTTTTGAAAGTTTATATTTTTGTTTTGAAAAAGTAAGGTTATAAAATGTATTTAATAAACTTTATTGATATATGATATTTTATTTAAAAATTTCTTATAATTTGATACAGAGGAAGTATTGTTTTCAGTTCATATTATATGGCAATTTTAGTTACCTCACCAAAAACTAAGATATGGTTAAATTATTATTTTTTTCTAAAAATAAAATAAACTTCTAATTTTGTTTTGTTTAAATGAAAAAAATTAAGGAAAATTGACAATGAAATCCCACTAAATTATCTTTTAGTCTCTCAAAATTATATAATTACACTAAGGCCCTTAGAAATTTTTTGGTCATTAATGAATTAATATAAATAATCAAATTGTCTTTAATTCATTAGATTGTTAAAGTGTAACAAATAACAAGTGTCAATTACATTTTTTGTTTAAATAATCATAACTTTTTTTTAAAATTGCAAAAATGTAGTAGAGAATCACAAGTTTGCATTTTAAATTATCTAATATTTCTAAAGTGTTGCAAATAACAAGTGCTAATCATAATTTTTTTTAAATAATCACAATTTTTCTTCTTAAAATTGTAAGAATACAATAAAAAATTACAAGTTCACACTTCAAATTCTTGATCTTCCTAAAGTATTGCAAATGACAACTGCTAAAATCTTAAGTTTTGTTTAAGTAATCACAATTTTCTTTTTTAAAATTACAAGAATGCAACAGAAAATTACAAGTTCATATTTTCACAATTTGATGAATTTGACATGCAAACTTGTGATTTTCTAATGTATTCTTGCGATTTTAAAAAAGAAGATTGTAATTATTTAAATAAAATTTGTGATTGTCACTTGTTATTTGCTACACTTTAGGAATATCATAAATTTAAAATGCAAATTTATGATTTTCTATTATATTCGTGTGATTTTAAAAAGAAATGTTTTGAGTATTTAAATAAAACTTGTGATTAACACTTATTATTAGCTACATTTTAGCAATACAATAAATCAATGACAATTTAATTATTTATATTTATTCATTAATCATAAAAAAGTCTTTACGAACTTTAATATAATTATATCATTTTAAAAGATTAAATTATCATTTATATAATTTAAATAAATTTTATTATTATTTTTTAAAAATTTAAGTATGTATTACATTTTCTTTCATAATTAATAAATTTAAATAAAAATATATTAAAAAATATAATTAATATCTTCATCAAATGTCTTGTATTAAACACTGACAAATACTTGTACAAATTATCCTGTAATAAGATATCTGTATTGTTTTCGGTGGGTTTTCATCTTTCAGAGAGAGAAAAAGAGGTGGACAGGACAGCACTAATGAATTGTGGTGGCACTTGGTAGTTAAAAAGGCTTTGTTAACTCAGTGTTCATTATTGGTGTCATCAATAGATTAGGAAGGACAATTATTTTGGTATTCATAAGCAATGGAGTGTAATATGATACTCCCTCTGCTTAAAATATAAAATATTTATAATTAAATTTTACTTTTTAATAAAATAATAAATTATTTTTAAATTAATTTTATTTTTTTATATTTATTTTTATTAAATACTCTATAATAAATATAAAGTTATTATTAATAAGAGTACTTTTACAAAAAATTACATTTTAAAAAATTTAAAAATTTATATTTTTAAATATTTAATTTTTCAAAAAATTACTTACCATAAAAAGTGTATCAAGATTCAATATCATTTCAGCTAACTCTCTCAATTTCCCGCTGTGTATGTGAACTGAGAATGACATCAAGAGAAGTTGGCTTCTGACATACAAAATTGCCGTAGCTGTCAGTCTGACGCTACCAATCCCAACAGCATCATCACCAAAAGCCAACAGCCAATTACTCCCTGGTTTCATTATACCGGTTTTGTTTTAAGGTGATTGCACGCATTAAAAAATAAAATAAATATATAAAAATATGATATGTTTTATTAAATTCATTTCTCATTTAATGTATTTAAAAATATTATAATAAATAGTAAATTATTTTAAAAGTAAAAAATATTAACTATTGCCTTAAGATTTCCTTTTAGTTTTTTACTTTAAAGTTATATTTATGATTTTACATATTTATATTTTTTATATTTTTATTATATTAATATTTATGAGATTGATAAAAATGACTTATAAATAGGATTGAAGAGATCATGTAATATGAAACAATATTTTTTTCCTCAAAAGGTAAATATAATGAAAGAGAGAGTATTACTAGCATAGAAATCAATGTTAACAAAGATTGAGTCAAACAAAAAAATTTAGTTATTTAATTCTTTATAATATAACAAATTTAACTTTAAAATTTTTTATATAAAAAGATATTTATATTTAGTGTTTAATTATATCTCAAATATGATTATTTTTAATAGAATAATTTTTTTATTATAAACCATGCTTTGAGCATGAGTAGGATAGTATACAATTTTTAAAAAAATGAGTCATGGATGACCGAAAAAAGTAAGTTATATGAATCATAATATATAAATAATGTAATTTGATATAAAAAAGTTAACTTTACTAATAAGAAAAATTAGTAGGGGATTGATTCTTTTAAATAAGTCATAATTTATGTAAGTCCTTAGATTCATTTATAATATTACCTAATGATACAGCAATCCAATACAATTTTAACGGATGTATTGTAGATAGTAATCATAGACATATCAGAACAAGTTTTTATGAACTCTTGAGCTAGCAATGTAATGAACTAGTCTTTTGTATTGCTACTCAATAATTCCAACCTTAGTTATCATCTGAATTCAATCTTTGCTTCTAGGAAACTGATTGGTTTCATGGCAGCTGAAATGAACAAGAAATCGCCACTAATGATTTGCAAGGTATTTTAATGTTAGGATAAAGAATGCTACTTTTGGCAGAGAATGCTTTTCCTTTCAAAAGAATGAAGCACAGTGAACCATTAGTTTTTTCTTTATAAGTTCTATTTATCTTGGATTCCCTATTATTACCATGCTTTTTTAAAGTACACTATTTTTATTTAAGAAGAATTTAGTCAAAATACATTTATACATCTTTTTGTTTTAAAAGTTACACTTGGAATCTCCTTTAGGCTTTAATATATCCTTTTATCCGTGAAGTTAACTTTTTACATAACATACATTTTTAAGTAAAAATAAAATAATCATTATCTTCTTCATTTATCATACTAAAAACAAAACTATATTGATTTCTTTTACTGAAAAAGAAAAATATTGTTACAAGACATTTCAAAATAAAAAGAGATTATAATTTTGTTTAAACAAAAAAGATATAATCTATACTGACCTATAACTTAACTAAAACTCAAGGAAAATATAAGTGATTAACTGTTTACGGATGGCTTTTATTCTTCTCACTACTTACTAATTTTTCATAAAGGCACTGATTTCAAGCGGGAATTTCTTTATTCTATAAAAGGGAGAACCTTATTCCTCCCACTAGTTAAAGTACAGAGGCAAACGCTTTTCCTTTTTCGCCTTTTCTTTTCAAATGGAAGGGTCACTATGACGCTCTTGTCATGGAAAGAATGAACTTGCCACCATTGACGCATCTCAAAGAAGTCTCCTCTTCACCTTCAGATCCTGCCTTATGGTAAGCATATGCAAGACCCCTCATGTTCATGTTCATGTTCATGTTTCTGAATCAACTCCTTCAAAATTCAAGTTTTCTGTAACAGTACTTTGTTCAACTTAATTGAATTGATTTCTGCTCTATTGCATACCCCTCAATCCTTTCTTCTTCTTACCCTTTTAATTCAGCAAACATCTCTACTATTAATTTCGGTTGAAAATGAAAATCTGGCATACAATTTCTTATTCATTTGCAGAATGGAAAATCATTCTTCTGCACAGAATTTCTAGCAAAACCCAAGTTTAATATCTCTAGGGTGGTGCTAAGCTTTGTACCCAAAGATTTCTGTGTTCCTAATTTTAGCTATATGATCAAATACAGGAAAGGATAGAGAACAGCTAAGGTCAGAACTTGGAGTTGCCACTCGCCTTACTTTTGCAAGCACCCACGATGTTCGAGTCCTTAATTTCTGCAATTGTTTCACTAAGCTTCTTACTGTTCTTCTCTGGCTCCACTGTAGCTGATCTGGACTCTGATAGACAAGCTCTCTTAGAGTTTGCTTCTAGTGTCCCGCATGCCCGAAGACTCAACTGGAATGATTCTTCTTCAATTTGCACCTCATGGGTGGGTGTGACTTGTAACTCAGATGAAACTCGGGTCATTGCTATCCATCTTCCAGGAATTGGCCTCAAAGGTCACATTCCAGAGAACAGCATAGGGAAACTAGACGCCCTTATGGTCCTGAGCCTTCACACCAATGGCCTTAATGGGAATCTTCCTGAAGACATCCTCTCCATTCCTTCACTCGAGTATGTTCACCTCCAGCACAATAACTTCAAGGGTCCAATCCCTCTCTCTGTCTCTCCCAAACTCGTTGCACTTGATATTTCTTTCAACTCCTTCTCTGGCACTATCCCACCTACATTTGTCAATCTCAGAAGACTTGCCTGGTTGTATTTTCAAAACAATTCCATCTCTGGACATATCCCAGATTTCAACCTCCCGAGGCTCAAATTTCTCAATTTAAGTTATAACAACTTGAGTGGCTCAGTTCCAAATTCCATCCAAAAATTCCCCCTCACTTCTTTTGTTGGGAACTCTTACTTATGTGGGCCACCTCTGAATCATTGCTCTGCGATTACCCCTTCTCGATCACCTCCCTCTGGTTATCCCTCGGTCACTCCAGCAAATCCACAAAGTCAAAAGGCTACCAACTCAAAGAAAAGATTTGGATTGGCTTTCATACTTGCTTTAGTTATTGGGGGATGTGCATGCCTCGCTCTCCTAGTTTTGGTAATCTCTTTGTGCTGTTGTAAGAAGAAAAACGGTCAAAGCAGAGGCATACTGAAAGCAAAGGCAGCTTGTGCAGGAAAGAACGAGATTTCGAAGAGTTTTGGAAGTGGAGTACAAGCGGCTGAGAAGAACAAGTTGTTCTTCTTTAGAGGTTGCTCTTATACGTTTGACCTTGAGGATTTGCTAAAGGCCTCAGCTGAAGTTCTTGGAAAGGGAAGTTATGGAACAGCTTACAAGGCTGTTTTGGAGGAGGGAACAACGGTGGTGGTCAAGAGGCTGAGGGAGGTTGTGGTCGGAAAGAAGGAGTTTGAACAGCAGATGGATATTGTAGGAAGAATCGGAAGCCATCCCAATGTTATGCCTCTTCAAGCTTATTATTATTCTAAAGATGAGAAACTTCTGGTTTGCAGCTTCATGCCAGGCGGAAGCTTATTTGCCTCATTGCATGGTACGTTTGTGTTCCCCTAATGATCCTGCTGTTCTCGCTTCATTTAGTCCCTACCCTGACCCTTCTTCTAGCAGTCAGAATAATCAACAGAGTGAAGGTCTTCTTTCCTTGGCCTCAAATTAGTTTTTTTTATCCCTGATTGAGCATCATCACATCCAATACAGTAAATTAGGTAGACTGAATGACCTTTTCATCTTCCAGAAAAATAGCTTAAAATATTTCCAAGACCATGATGACAGGGAGACATGGTTAGGAATAAAGCCTCTTGGCAGTCAAACAATTAAAGAAATAGAACTCTGGCTCCGGGCTTCCATGGAGAACTGAAATTTAAATTAGACAACATTAAACATTTAGAGCTAGATTAAGTCCGGCGTTTGAAGGAACTGTCAAATGATTCATTATTCTGGCTTAGTTGTGCTCAGTTTGTTCGAGCCAAGAACTTCACTTAATCATCAAATCAAGGAAAGTAAAATCAAATTCCTCGGCACTCTTAAACTGGGGTACTAATTTGCTAATCCAATTGCTGCTTATGCAAGCAGCTTAACTACTACTGTCTAATAGCAAGCTGATTGAACATTTGCAAAATTAAACACTTAAAACTACCATTAAGAATCTTCTCTTGGTTTTGTTTTCGTCAGTCTTCTATCCATCTAAATTGTCAACTGCGATACTGCTGATAAATCAACCTGATTCTTCTATCCAAAAAACAACAGGAAACAGGGGTGAAGGAAGAACTCCATTAGACTGGGATGCAAGAATGAAGATCTCACTTGGAGGTGCCAAGGGAATAGCCTTCATACACTCTGAAGGGGGTCCAAAATTCACGCACGGCAACATCAAGTCCACCAATGTCCTCCTAACACAAGACCTCGATTGCTGCATCTCCGACGTCGGATTGCCTCCTCTGATGAACACTCCGGCAACCATGTCCAGATCCAACGGCTATCGCGCTCCAGAAGTAACGGACGCCCGAAAAATCACCCATAAATCCGATGTCTACAGCTTCGGGGTGCTTCTCCTGGAAATGCTGACGGGGAAATGCCCAATGAGATACCCTGGCCATGACGAGGTGGTGGATCTCCCGAGGTGGGTGAGATCCGTCGTTCGCGAGGAATGGACGGCCGAGGTGTTCGACGAGGAGCTACTGAGAGGGCGATATGTGGAAGAGGAAATGGTGCAGATGCTTCAGATTGCGCTGGCATGCGTGGTGAAGGTGCCGGACATGAGGCCTAGGATGGACGAAATTGTGAGAATGATGGAGGAGATCAGGCAGCCGGAATTGAAGAACCGGCCTTCCTCCGAGTCCGAGTCCAATTTACAGACACCTTGAATGTTGCTTGAACAACGAGCTAGAGGTGGGGAGAGTGTGAGAGAGAGAGCATTTTCATCGTGTTGGGAACAATTGTGAGCTACGATTCATGATAGGTATTCTGCGTCTTTACTTCAAGCAATAAGAATTGCAGTGTAATAAAAGTGTCTAGTCCTGCCTTGTGGAATTTCTTGATTCGAGTTGCTGCTTTTTTTTTTTTCAAACAATGGGCAATGATTTCCTAAAAACAAATGTCCCACGGACATTATGAACCTTACATAGCTTCTTTTAACAAGCATCGTGTTCCAACAATGACCAGACAAAGTTGTGGAGACAAACATAAAACAAAGGATGAGAGGAATGAGGAGGGGAATGAATAAGGCAGAAGGCTAGTCGAGGTGGGATCAGATTCTAGCTCTGAGGTTCTAATATTTGAAAATCTTGGATTTCAATGGAAAGCAGACATATTTGATTTTTATGTATTTATTTGCTGTATGTACAAGACCATATATATATATCAAGTGTGGTTCACGTTGAAATTTGCAACTCCAGAGGAACTTGGGGCAAAGGAACATGACGAATTTGCTTGCGGAGGTTGTGTTTCTTCTGGATAAAGAAAGTGAAAAGATGGTCCTTCCAGGTGTTAGTGTTATCCACATCCAAATACAGCTCGTAAAACCTTACTTCCCCGCTCCATGTTACGGACAAGGCCGTGATACTCCGAGTCCCAACAACACCCTGCACCATAATATCATCACTATTATCATATCAATCAATCATTAATGAACAGGGGAAGCAATATTTGATGAGAAAGCCAGCGAGTACCCTGGGTGTGTGGAAATGGACGAAGATGGAGCTCAAGGGAAGTTCCCAATCAGGAGAGCAAATGTGAGGGAGCAGAGCAGGTGGGGCTTTTACAGAGTCCTTCATAACAGCACCAGCCACGTGGTCCAGTGGAATAGGTTCGTCACCGTACTTGGCCACCTCTCGTTCGAACAGAACACGAAGCCGCTCAGCCTTGTGCCAAGGCGAGTCCAAGCTTGCGTTAGAAACAACATGAAGGCCTGGCTTCACCTCCTGTATGTGGAAACTCCCACCTTGTGCTTTTGGCCCTCTGTTGCTCATATAAACCATGGATTTGGACTCTATATCTCCCACCACCAAATTGAATCCATTGTAATACTCTCCTTCCGTCTTCAGTCCTTCCGCAAATTCCCTCGGACTCTTCCTGCTCTGCCACAACCACACCCACATGAATACATTCTCACTATTTAAAAAACAACAAAAGAATTCAAGAAGATGTATGACATTGTATATATACTCTGAGAAAAAGGAGTGGGAGTTCGCCCCGCGTTCTGGCATGATGGAGAGTATGGGACTCCAAGACGTTAGTGAGGAAGGCAACTCTTCCCTCTCTGGAACAGGCCAGCCATGTCCCTCCTCCAACCTCGTCTATTCCTCCCAGTATCTCTGTTTCGGTGTCTTCCCACCACGACGCTGCCTTCGTCGCCCTTCATTTCACCGCCACCGACATTCACTCAACAGATTTTTACGATAAATAAGAAACAAGGAAAGAATGGAAACTTGCCTGTTATGGTACTCGTCTCTGTTGTCGAAGAGGATCAAAGGGTAGAGTGGATGGGCCTGCCAGAGAAACACCGCTATGCACGTTATTCTCTATTGGGGTTGTACTGCTGGAGATCGTTCACAGATATGCAGACAAAGGTTGAATTAGGAGATAGATGATGATGCAGAGAAAGAGGGAGACGACTTGTATAAATATGCATAGTATGGACGCGAGTTGCCGACTCAGAGCTTATGGGTGACGTGGAGACTATGTATTGTATATCCATATTGCCAAGAGGGCTTGCGTATGATTATTCCATTCCACTGAATTATGCAAGGGGGGAAGTTGAAAGCTGAATATTAATGATAACTGTGAGGGACTTTTGATATTATGTGAGAGAAGGAGCAGCATTCGGTTTTTTGTTATCAATCAGAGGCGCCGCCACCTGTGCTTTTCGCTATCGTGCGCTGTGCTTTCAAAAGTCAAAACCTTGAGCTTCCGCATTATTTACGCCACCCAGTGTCCAGTAGCTTTCTTTTCTTTCTTTTCTTTCTTTTTTTGTTTTGGGAGAAAAATATCAGCAACCCACCCGTTTGTTTTAGTCTCCAAGTTGCTTGATTTGGATTGCATGGATCATGTCAATGTGGAGCACATGTGATTCAATTTTTTTTATATACAAAACGTTTAAATGAGCTAGATGTGCAAAATTTATTGAAATTATGATTATATTCCCGAGTTCAAAAAGCACACAGAGATATTTATTTATATATTGTCTACTAAAAAGTTGCCCATATCATTCAATTTTATAAATTATTGACCAAAGAGACTAATATCTATTGACGTGATTCCCAAACGAGCCCATAAATATCTTTTATTTCATATACACACCGTCTTTTAATTAAAAAAAAAAAACCCAAGGAAACAGCATAATTCTATACTACAGTATTAAAATAACATGTTTATAGTTAGAAGTAAAGTTCCCTTCTCATGTCTGGAGCTGCGTGTGCAAAAATACGCTGCCAAATCCTCAAAGGACTTGGATGGCAATAAAATTTTCAGTCTCACGAATTGTGCAAGTATGTGGCATGTCCCCATCCAATCATTCAAATGCGCCACAGCACAGTTGAAATTTTTATTGGATAAATTAGACATCCGTAAAAACATTTTTATTGAAATTTCATAGTTGAAATTTTTGTTGGAATGATCTTCCTCAAAAAAAAAAAGTTTTCTGGAATGAAATTCAGCAAAACATGCATATGTTGAAAAGGAAAAAAATATGTATAAGTTTCTGGAGTAAAATTGTTTGCAAATAAGTCTCACAAAGTTTAAAAACTATAGATAGGTCTTTTAAAATTTGAGTGTAATTTAAAATTAAGATACAAAGGCAATATTGTCCTTATTTGTAATGCATAATTAATTTAATTATTAAATATATAAAGTTATAATTGTTAAAAGTTAAAATGATAGTTGTAAATTATTAATAAAGCGGTTGTAAACAATTATTATCAAATTTTGTTGGCAACACTTGATTGGTTTAACTATCATATATATAAAGTTACAATTATAAAATATTAAAATGATAATTTTAAATTATTAATGTAATTGTTGTAAACAATTAATGTTAAACTTTATTAGTAACGTATAATTAAATTAACTATTGAATATGTGAAGTTATAATTGTAAAATATTGAAGTAATAGTTGTAAATTAATGATGAGGGAGTTGTACACTATTAAAACTAAATTTGTAATGTATGATCAGTTTAACTATTAAATATGTAAAGTTATAATTATAAAAAAATAGAAGTAATAATTGCAAATTATGAATAAAGTAGTTGTAAATTACTTAATTGATATAATATATTTTTAATAGGAGATTATTATCTTTATACTTTAATTTTAAATTACACTCAAATTTTAAGAGATTTGATTATAGTTTTTGAAGTTCGTGAGACTTTTGTATAAATAAATATGCTAGATTTATACATAATTTTTTCTATTAAGAAGGTGTTCCTATTATTATAGTTAATCCTAAATAAAGTAATTTATTCAGAAACTTTATAAGGTTTTTAAGAGAATGTAACTGTCATGAAATTAATATGCAAGGATCACGATGATTTTTTATTTATTTATTCAGAAATCAAATCATAAATATCACAAATTAAGTTTATAAATAACAGTTATGAAAATAAGCTATAACCCATTTGTTATAATGAAATTGGAAGGGGTGGATATAAATAAAAATATAGAAATGGAATTGAAAAAAGTGTGTTTGATATAATAAAATTTAAAAAATTTTCAATTTCAGTTCCACCAAATTCTATGATAAAAGTTAAATCTTATCATTCCATATACCTTTTCATCTTATCTTTTCTACTATACCCTTTCCTCTGTCTGAGCCTCTACTTTGGTGAGCACTAACCAACAACAAACACTAACCTACTTAATGGCAAGCATCGACCCAACGATGATGATTGTAAAGTTAGGAATAAGAGTCAGGTCGAACTTGAAGGCTCTATTTAAATAAAGGTTTAGACTTTAAAAATAATTTTTTAAAGTAATCGAGCTTGAAGGCTTAACCCTGATAAGCCGTGTAAAAAAAGGCTCGAGCTCGAGCGACCCCTCAAACTCTGTTATATTATTATTTTCTTTAATGAAACATATATTTGAAACCAATGACTTGCTCATCTAATCCTATACGTATTATATTATTATTAATTTTAATTTATTTTAAAATTAATTTAATATAATTTAATAAATATCAGTGTATAGTATAAAATTTTAATATTTTTTATTTTTCAATAATTATTATATTTGTATATTTATAAAAAATAAACTATTTTTTAGCTAAGATTTAAATTTTATTACTAGACTTCTAAATATGTGTTGTTTAATTTTTAAAAAATTATGAGAATTTTGATTTTTATAATTTTAAAATATTTTAATTAATTTATAATATTTAATTTTATTTTAATTTTATTTTATTTTTTTAAAAAAAGTTTGCAAGCCCGATCCTAAACGTTTTACATAAAAACCTAACTTAAAAAATAGAGTTTAAAATAAAAAATTAAACTTTAAAATTCAGGCCCTTGAAAATTTAACCCTTGTCAGTTCAGCCTGAGAGTCAAGCTCTGTATTTTCAACTCTAGATGACTATGGCTGCGACCACCAAGCCGATAATGGCAAGCACGATGGAAATCCTTTTTAGACTGCAAGAAGGTGGTTGTAGGTTCTAGCAGTGGTGATTGATGGTGATTTTAATATCTGGGTTGGAGCAATTTTTTTGAGAACGAGGGCATTTTAGTATTTGTATATTATAAATATTAATGTCAAATAAAATTAATATCTCAATTTTATGAACATATCAAATATATTTGTAAGATACATCTCTATATTTATATCCATCTTCACTTTCATATTCATATTTATTTTTATTTTTATTAAAATTATTTTTAAGATACCAACTAGGGAACTAATTCTCTAAACCCCTTACAGAGAACTATAAAAAAGTTTTCAATGTTTGCAATATGAAAAAAATATAATACCAACTCATTAACCCATAAAGTCTTATGATGCTTTTAATTACGAATTTAAGTCGCTTCTGCATTTGGCCTTTTCTCACGTCATTTTTATTGAAGTTTATGAGTCTGATTGCAATCATTTCTATATTTCGAGGATGAAATTAATGATAAAGGACAACCACTTCCAACACAATTCTCATCCCTACAAAATATTATGCAAGGTCAATCCTATTAGCTGCAAATTTACAAATTGTTTCCAAACTATTTTTAATATCATGAACTATGCTCCTCTAATTTTTTTTTTGGCCAAATGCTCCTCTAAATTAAATAAATGTTCTCATTACTTTGCACGAAGATTAGGATCTATGTTTCCTAACAATAGACAGAACCCTCAAATGAATGGCGAATTCAGCTCTTTGATGCTTTATGAAAATTAAAAATAAATTAATGATTATAAGGCCAATAACTTCATTTGAATTTTTTTCCGAACTAAAAATACCAAATTATGTTGTTTTGACTTTTGATGGAGGACCTGATCCTACTTGGAGCATTTTATACTGTTCTTTGAAAAAAAAAGGAGTAAATAAGTAAATTATCTCTTAAATTTTAGATCAAGTGACACCATAGATCTTGAATTTATTTATTACGTAAATTATTTTTTTAATTTTTAAAAATAGTAATCTAGCTCTTGTCATTATCAAAAGTAAACTTTAATTGTTAATTGACCATAACAAAGCCTAAAAAATGACCAAAAAATTGGGTCCTTCATTATAATTTTGGAGATTCTTTTCTACTATTTTTTGTCAACTAAAAATTAAAATTAACTTTTATTAATGATAAGAATTAAATTATATAATTTTTAAAAGTTGATATAATAATTTGTATAAGAAACAAGTTTAAAATTTATAAAGCTATTGAATCTAAAATTCAGATAATAATTTACCCAGTTACTCCAAGAGAAACTTTATTGTATTGGAGATTGGGCACAGAATAGTATATAATTGTGTTGACATTTATAACAATTCAGTGTGTTATCTCAATTTGGCACATCTGACGTGTCATATTGTGTCGATTTTTATCTAATACACGTACATACTACATGGTTTACAATAATGATTTTAGCATAAACTGTTAATGTATGAATCTATATCTATGGTCTAGAAAACTTACTTCCGATTATGATAAAACTTCTTTACTACCACACAAGAATTTTGGATTACTACAACAAAGTTAAGATATAAAATTTCATAATAGATACAAGTACAAGTAGAGGGAAGCCTCATCGTACATTCAAAAAATGAATTGCATAATTTTGAAAAGTAAAATTATAATTTCTTACAATTTTCTTGTGACAAACAACTCTAAATAATTTACCCAACTTTAATTAATTATTATTGGGTTTGAGCTTTTGCTTATACGATCTAATTTATCAAGGTTTTCAACATTTTCTAATCTTACAAATAATTTAAAAAAATACTACTACATCGATTTGGACAATCGATTTTTTGTAATTGCAATTCAATTATACATTAAGTAACTAATTGCATGATGTATCATTGAATAAAGATGAGAAATAAATAATAAATACTTGTCCCAAAAAAACAAGTCAAATATGTCGCTTATTATAGGAGAGAACCAGTTAATACAAATATTCAAATTTATATTTTAACTTTTGTCTTATTCTTATCACTGTCTAATAACTCTTTCTTTAAAAAAAAACATCTATTTATTCTAATTACCAATTCTGGGAGGACGAAGAAATATTTAAATAAATTAAAATGGCAAAAGCTCATGGGAGAAAAACATTCCCATTTTGTCACCGGCCCAATAACGAGGAAGCAAGTTTTTCTTCCATCAACATTATTAGTTCTCTCAATCGTCGCTTGTCACCTTCTCGATGTTTTCTGGTCATCTTATTTGATCAAATTCGAGCTCAGGATTATGGCATTTTGAATATAAAAGTAAACTGTGCTTGAAAGAAAACCTGTTCATCCATGCACACGATTGAAGGTGAACTTTCTGATTTACCTTTTATTTCTTGCTATAAAATTGATCCTTCCATTTTTTTTTGACTTTTTCACTCATTTGTCTGGGAGCACTGGGCGGGCATTATCATTTGTTTCAATCTAATATTGATCACGTCGTGTCGTTAACATCAGTTGTGTTTTTTCATTTCGGCTCGAAAAGTTTTAATCGTTCTCAGCGTGTTTTGCCCATATAATTAATATGGAGGAAATTAGAAACACAATTCATTTGCTGCAACAAGGACATATTTCAACAATGAAATAATGCAGTATTTCATATTGATCATTTCGCATTATGGTGATGGATATTCACGTCCTTTGCTTTTTATTGCCGAAGGTTCATCACAATATTCAATTAAACGTCCCGATTTCCATGTGCTGATGACCTTTAAATATCCTGTGTTTAGTATGCTAATAAACTTTTCTTCTGATTTCTAAACTGGTTATTGTTTCTGTTTCCTGATATTATTAGATGAAATAAGCAAGGCTGCAAGCCGGCAAAGTAATATCATAAAATAACTACTTTATTTTTTTTGCAAGTATTAGCTGTGCTATGGATTCCGTATTTTGTGTCCAAGAATTCCTTTGACAGGAAAGCTCTCTTTTACTGTATCTCTAGATACAATCTATTCTGATGACAAGGAATTTCCTTCTCCCTAAATATTGTAAGGAAAGCAGTAACAAGTGGCCATCGTAGACAACGAAGAATTTCATTTTACTTGACCTTGCATCCACTTAGTCCTTTATATAAGGAGGCCTTTTGTACAGCATATTTTTTTTATTAATACGGATATTAACTTTATATAAATGTGTGTCTAAATATATAGATTTCATATCAAGCATGGGATCTTGAATCGGCCTCGTATTAACACATTGTGAAATTGAAAATGTATTAAATGCCTCTACCAAAACGTTCTCCTGAACGCTTCTTGAAAATCTGCTTTTATGAAGGAAATTGAGTGTGATTGTCAGGATTAAGTGACAGAAATAACCATTCCGCTTGATCAGTGCCTCCCCATTGAAGACATTTATCCCTTAAAATGTTATCCATTTGGTATATCATGCCAGCTTATGACAGCATGGTTTAGAATGTGATATTTGGAGCTGATAATGTTCAATTAAAGAGCTATATTTTTCTTTTTCTTCTTTTTGTTTAATAGAGTCTCCCGAGTCTCTAAACCTTTTTTAATTTCATTGCTGAAGTAATAGTTTATTTACTATAATGTTTAAAGCAGGTTCATAGAGCTTCTTGACTGATACCGTGTCAGAGACAGCTATAACATTATAACATTCCATCGTGGAAACTCAATGGGCTGTTGTTCACTGAAACTATCGAAGCCCAGTTGTGCATGCTCAATCGGCTGTTTTTGGCCTCAGGTAAAGTTTGCTTTGGATGCTTCTTCTGTTTTCCAGCTATCAAGGAACAAAATTTGTTTTTAGAGTGTCTTTTTCTCTTCTGTATATATTTCCTGCATGGCTACTCTGTTTTTCCAAGCAAACATTTTTCCTTTTGTGTTCGCTTCTGAAAGTTCTTATTGCCAATTGTGTGACTTCATGGCATTCTGTAGTCTTTAAAATTTGAATCATGTCTTGATTCTTGAATGTCCTGCGGAGATATCTTACTGCTTTTCCAGTAGACTTAAAGAATTCTATGAAGTTTCATTGTCTGTTCTTCCTTCATATTCATTAAATCAAGTGGTTCGACAATTTTCTATTAACTGGCCATTCCTTTAGTTTAGCTTCTCAATCTCAATAAAATCTATCCATACCAAGAATCCTCTCCAGAACAGTTCTCCCCTTTTGTTATTTTCCCCTTCAGAGTTATCCATCTGCAGTAAGACTGAAGATATTGATGATGTGTCAAAGACATAATGTATTCATGTAATAGCATCTTTTAGGCATATGCTTGAGCCCTTTTTGCGAGAGGCATTGGCATTCAGATCATGGAACTATATACACTTATCACTTGTAGCTATTAACTATTGAAATACAATTAGATTCCAAAAATAGTTTTGATCTTATCCAATTCTAGTGCTTTGTTAGTTAACGTGATGACATGAATATATAGTTACTTATCCTGTCACGTCATCTCATAGTTGCATGATTATTGCAGTTCTGTGGAAGTAATAGTGAGGAACAGTGTTCTGATAGGCTATATCATTCTTCCAGAAATGTGCACCGCATAACTAGCATTCAGAGTTGGGAAACAAATCTATTACGAGCCCGCCAAGAGGGACAGATCGTAAGTTTTTAGTGCAATGTTTGATAATATGTCAGCCGGAAAAAAAAAAAGAAAAGAAAAACAGATTAATATGGAACAATGAAGAATTCTTGCCAGAGATTAATGCATTCGTAGCTTCATTTCATTTGGTTGCTACTCAAGCAATTTAGCACCCTTGTATGTAGTCTCTACTTTCAGATGTACCAAGATTTGAGGAGAGAAATATTAAAAATAAATATTATTTTTAATTTCTAATTTATTTTAGATATTTTCTATTTAATAATATTGTTTATATTTTATTTAGATATTTAGTTATCTAAATTTTATTTAGATATCTAGTTATTTAAATTTTATTCAATATCAAATCTAGATTCTATAATATTTGATTCAGTTTTTATTTTATTATTTAGTTATCTAAATTTTATTCATTATTTTAGATTGTATTTAGCATTGTAAATATGCTTAGCAACTCAGCATATCATGAATAAAAATAACTTTTAAAACTTTTGGCTTTTGAATATTTTCTTAAATGTGATTATTAAGAGAAGTGTAGAATAAGATTCTTGTTCTATTATCTTGATAGATTTATTCATTCTATTTTCTTATATAAGTTCTATATCCTCTTATTAATATTAAAAAGTTGGATTTTGATTTCATATATTAATAAAGACTTATCTACCTTATCCCACTCCACTTATCTTGGATCCTACCATTATATATCATAGCCGTTCAATCCTTAATGGATTCCTACCACTTCTACACTACTTTTACAATTTCGCACTCACCACTCATCTTAACACGCGCTTCCTTACCTAACCATATCTCCTTGCCTTATGAAAGGCATCTATTCCTTCATAGCTTGTCTTGATGTCTATGATTTTACCATTAGGACACTACCAATTGTGCCAACTAGCAAACAAAACAAAGCCAGTCAAATTCATTTCAGCATCAAGGGAGATATGAAAATTTAGAAACACAAAATTCCTCAACCTACAAGTGTGTACAAGAACTTGAGTTTAGCCTTAAACAGTGAATTTAAGATCTAACACTCTCATGGTCTCAAAGGACTGTAACAACTTAGTTAAAATGAAACACTCTTAACTAGAAATACATTTGTTCATGAGGCTAAGGAGATGCCTCCTTCTCTCCTTCACCTCTAGAAGAATCCAACAAACTCCAAGCCTTTTTGGGCTTTGCATGTTTTTGTTTCAGAGCTTGAATATAACACTTTAAATTTTTGAATCAATTTTTTTTTTTTGCAAACTAATAAGTTACTAAACTAAATTATTAATATTAAACATTTACCATGATAGAAAAAGGACTATCATGGTAATTAAAGAATAAAATATTTTTTTTGAAACCCTATCATGATAGAAAAAAGTTTGACATAAAAATAAATCATTTCAAAAATAACCTACTATGGTAAAAAAGATCTGCTATGGTAGAAAGAATTTAATATAATAAATAAACTCTACCATAATAAATAAAATAATAGTTATAGTAAATTATACCCATTGGAAAATGAGGTAGAACCATTTGCATCAAGGGATCTCATAGAAATGGTCAATGTTCCAAAATTAAGTAACAGTTTGAAATCAAAATTTAGCATAGAAGTATGACTCCAAGGGTGTCAAAATTCCAAACAATTTTCTAAGAACAAATTTTTGGCATCACAGTGTGATTCAAGTGTACATCTCAAACAATATAAAATAAATCATGGTTAAGTCAAGACAATTTCCAAACAATGGAATTAGATCTAGATTCTAGGATTACCTTATTTGGTTTTTATTTTATCATCTAGTAACAGAGATTTTATTCATTATTTTTTATTGTATTTAGTATTATAAATATATTTAGCAATTCAAAAATAGGCATATCATAAATAAAATTGACTTTTGAGACTTTTGACCCTTTAAATATTGTCCTAAGTGTGGCCTTTGAGAGAAGTATAAAATGATATTATTGTTCTATCATTTTGATAGATTTATTTATTCTATTTTCTTTTCTAAGTTCTATATCCTCTTATTAATGTTATAAAGTTAGATTTTGATTTTATATGTTAATAGAGACTTATTTGCCTTATTTCTCTCCACCTACCTTGGGTTCTCCCACATACCCCGTATTTTTAAAGCCAGCCAAAATGCATTACTTAGCAACCTAAGTGCATCATCTTTGTTGCTAGATTCTTTTATTAGTCACTTGTTCCTGTTATGATTTTTTATTTGCTGTAACAGTGTCGTTATCTATCCCTAACAAGATTTTTTATTTGGGGTGCTGGGTGTATATTCAACAGGTTGTGGCCAATTTTACAGCATCTTGGTCTAATCCTTGTAAGGATATAGCACCAACCTACTCCGAGCTTGCTGACAAGTACTCAAGCCTTTTATTTCTGACAGTGGATGCTGATGGGCTTGCTGTAAGTATAGATTTTTTTTTTTTTGATGCAGCAAACTGTCACCTGAACAATAAGAATAGAAAAACCATTTTACTTTCCCTCTAGTCATTTGCCATGCATCTACCTTCTAATGCAACCGAATTTTTCCCTCTGGACTCTACACCAAATGAAACTGCCATCTGCGTAGCTTTACGTTTGAATATGATCGAAGCTAATTTCTTTCTTATTGGAAAACATGTGTTTTTGGTAAATGTAGGAGTTGAGTAGTTCATGGGATATCAAAGCACTTCCTACATTCTTTTTTCTTAAAGAAGGACGACAAGTAGACAAACTAGTTGGAGCCAACAAGTCAGAGCTACAGAAGAAGGCAGCTACGATGGCTATGTTATCTAAGGCTCCTCACTGACTCCGATGTAATTTCCATTGGCTGCATCATCATCATGCTTCATCATCATTGCTGCAGATGTTGGAGAGCCAGTGAAAGACGAGGAGTTATAGCTTTTTCAATGCCAAGAGTCATGTATTTGCATAGCTTCACGGCTTTTTTAAGTGTTTGATTTTCCCTTTTAGGGAGAAATGAGTACCGTTTGCATTGAACATTATCAGAGAAAAATATAATATATGAATTTTGCGCGCGCACTCTCATATTGACTACTGAGCAAGGGAAAAAGCTTGCCTGTAGTTAAGCCTAAAGCTGCTCATGGATCACCTGGTTTTGATGTTATAATGGTTTGTGACTCCTTTGTGAGCTGAGGCTCTGGGAAATACGAGTTTGAATAGATAGACTAAGCAAATTAACAGTAACATCAATGTGCCCCATTGCAGTAACATAAGTTTCATCTTTGATATGTTTATTTAGCTAGTTCATTTTTGTCCAACTTTTAAGCAGATCAACTAATCGGAAGGATTGTAAAAGAAAATAGATAAATTTGATTTACGAAACGTAATTGAACCAACGTTATTTTTAAATGTGCCATTCATCTTTTTTCTTTGGAACCAGAAACTTGTCCGGATTCTGTAATTAACACGGGTTTAATATAATGATCATATTAAGAGGATCATAAAACTACTTGGCAGGCCCTGGCAAATTCGAATTCTATTTAAAATCAATTGTGGGATCTATTCATCTTCTTCTTCTTTTTTTTCATTTTCGCAATAACTGAGGGATTTGTTCATCTCTATTCACATGATAGTGTATCCACATTTTAAACTCAGATTCCTCGTATTTAGAAGGCAACCTGCAATATGATGTTTCTTCCGCCATTAGTGAAGCTCCACAAGTCATGAATAATTCTCATGCATATGGCGTTTTGAAAAAGATCCAAAGAATATATCCTTGGCGCTTTGAGGTAATTATCACAATTTGATCACAAAATTCGACTTCAATTCTTGCAAAGTACAAGCTGCCGGTACACTTTCGAAAGTGAATGTTAGAGTTTGTATATGTCTAGGTAAAAACATGTTACTCAATTCTCACGTTCATAAGTAATTCTTATGCATACAATGTTAATTCTTAATCATCATTATAGTTCTGTGATTTGTGAAATCTATTTTAGATAATTCAATTTAATTAAAAAACAATTGATAATTTAAAAAAATTCAAATGTGAATCTGTTAGCTTTATCTTTATATGAAATTGGATATTTTATATATATATATATATATATAAAAGATATGAAACTGGTGGATATGAAACACTCATACCATAACATGATCCTTGTCTCTCGAAACTGGATACCAAACTGCCTCTCTCCCGCGGATTGCTTGAAGATGGATGCAGCAAAGCAAAAAAGGAAAAAGGGTCCCTCAAGCCTCAGCTTAGGAAGTTGCATCCAACGTCAAAAGCTGCAGCTTTAACGAGCAAGCCGAAGAGGACGAATGGCGCAGAGAAGAAGGGGCTATGGTCGCTGTCCAGTTCATACACTGCACATGGTGGCCACTTCTTTATCATCGACTCTTGTTGCTCTCCTTTCACCACCTTATCGTGCTTCGTCCTTATGTACACGCGCCTAACCTTCTCCACTTCCCCTTCATCGTCAAATCGCGCGCTGGTTATAGCAAGAACCGGCCCGGGCTTCAAAAGCATTGCAGCTAAGATTGAATCCTGAAACCCAAACACCGTTTCTGCAAGTGAAATTATTGAATTGATAGAACCTAGCTGTTTAGATATATAATCTAGGTTTTCATGTTTTCGCAACAAAATGGGGGGCACTGGCTAGATATGGTCCTACTTGTAGAAAAAGCAGATCTAGAAATTGAGGCCTGTGGGGTATACTCTACAGCAAAAAGGTCCTGAGAAAGTGATAAAGGGTTAAACAGTTTCGCGGAGATTGCAGGTTTGTCCTAGCTGCCTGCTGATGCTTTTTTTCTAGTTTTTAGAGAAATTTATACCTCGTGGGGGCTCAAATGGTATATGATTTTGCGTTGAAACTCTTTCTTCACCACAGCACTGGTTGGGGGCTTATCTGTTCCCAGTCCAAATCCTAGCTCGTACACATCCCCAAACTCAGATAAGTCAGGTATCCCCTGCTTGAAACATATTGCATACATTTGTAAGTAACTGAATCTAGAGTTTAGGAGCCACAGTAAAAGTTAGCTTTCTGAAGTCAAGAAATGCAAGCAATTAGGATTCACTGGTGATTATTTGCCCCTGGTCAATTGTTGGCGCTACATTAGACTCGGACACAATAAAAATTGTTGTCATTATTTATCAGTGGAGGACAAAGTAGACTTGTGGAACAGGGCTGTCGGATATAATTGCTGTTCAGGTTAAGAAAAGGAAGAAAACAAGACATATAGCGATTTCTTGCTTGGAAAGGGGATAGCATGTCTATAGAAAATGCTTATACAGCTATAATGATTAATACAATGTGTGTTGTGGGGTTTAGATGGAACGAAATTTCTTGATATAGATAAGCACAGTTCGAAATGAAATAGTATTACTTAATTAGGTGCAAGAAGCTAATGATTGTGAATGAGTTAGGGCATAATGGATGGGGGAAATTTTAGCACAGGTTAGGGTAGATTCCTTTCATCATTGTTCAGAATCAACCGTACGGAGGAGATGTGCACACTAAGTCAAAATGCATGAGGTGAAATAAAGATGACTTTTAAAAACCATTTTTATGGACCCTGATAAAAAATAACCGTAATAATTCACTGCCAATGGAGGAACACTCAAAGAAAGAGAGAGAAAAAAATAGGGCAGGCCAAGCAGGCATTGTAAGGGCCTAAGCGGTCTTCCTTGTGAAGGCTAACGATGACATAAAGCGTTAAACCGTCTCCTAGATAAGGTCAAGAAGAAAGGGCGGGAAGAAGGGAGAGAGGAGAGAGAAAAGACAGAAACTCCCCATTTTAAAACAGTGGCTACTTTGTTTGTTTATGGGGCTATTATTCTTATGAAAAGAAAAAAAAATGTGAGAGAGTAGGTGAATGCTTTGCATAACGGTAGTAATGAACCTCAGCCTTGCCTAAGAACCCAATAATTTGCAAGACAGTTGGAAGCCAATTACTTCAACATACCACCATCAACATCATCCTTGCTGGAAACCTTCAATATTCATACGTCAGGCAACAATGGGATCCCAGTATTGGAATCACTGGCTCATCCCAAATTTTCTTATTTCGCTCCCAAATCTAAAGTCATTAAGATTGTTAAACCTTCCCGCTTACATGTTCTTAACCTCTAATTCTATTTGATTGGAGACTTTCAAACTCACAACTGTTTCCCTGCAATTTTAAGCTCATACTTGGTTACTTGACTACTCATATCTTAAGACTCACATCCTCAAGTGTGCATATCATTATTGGTGTCAAGGTTAAGGTAGACTAATAAAAAAGAATGAAACATCAAAACAAGAAAAGTATAAACGGTTGAATGAAAAGGAATTACATCTTTCATATCCTCTTCTGTCTGGTATCCGAGCTTGAGCATAGTAGCTGCTGTATACACTGCTAATCGGATCTTGTTTGAAAACTTATGACAGGCCTGAGTAATACTCAACCCTCCTGCGCTATGTCCCACCAATATCACCTATTTGATATGATAAGCACTTTAATTCAATTCTGTAAAGAGACAGACAGATATGAAATAAGAGGTGGGAGCGAGATGATGACCAACCTGTTCATTCTCAGGCAAAGCGGACATGAAATCCATGAGAGGCTGATTGTACTCATCAAAGGAAAGAATAGAATCGGCATCAGATCGATCAATTCCAGCACTCTTGAGGTCTATGCATGAGACCTTGTAGCCAGAATTCTCCATAAGGCACCGAATTTTATACCAGCACCAACCTCCTCCTCCTATGCCATGTACCAGAACGAAGTGCTGCTTCAATGGAATTGCTCCTGTTTCTGTCATGCCGACCCCTTCCTCTCTCACAGTCGCAGGTATGGCTTTCTCTGCGCTCACCAACATTGCACTTACCTCTCAGCTTTTCTGCTTTGAGCTCTGTTGGTTAGGATATATGCGGGGCATATGTGGGATGAGATATTGTGAATAGTCAGTCTCATAGGGTCGTAACGTATGGTTTTTACTTTGCCAGTGGGGTTACAGTCAACATATACCTCCATTGATTTTTTTTTTTTTTTTGGGGTGTCATTTTGCATCATGAGAACTTCGGGAATGTGATTTGAAACGTAATAATTGCGGAGGAATGTAGATAAGTTGTATAAAAACCTTAATGTCATGATCAGTATTAATATTATATATGTAAGGCTTTTTAAGATGAAGTTTTGCTTTCCCTGAAGCGAAGGACGTCCACGTGTTTGATTGCTGTTAAATCTGTAGTCATAGTCACGAGACTATTTTTGGGATGATTCTTATGGTAGGATGTGTCTGGTATGCAATGAATTAAACCAATTGCAAATTTAGAATGATGGTAATGAATATAATTCAATTCATAAATAAGATTAGTTGTATAATGTACTGGGGCTCCGATTCGCTTGAAAATATACCCTTTTTTAGCGAGATATTAGGTGGATACCGTGCTGTACATGGGTTGCATTATTTACTTTCTTTTTCCACCCAATTGTTGCATATTTTTCTATTTATTACTGCTTATAGATAGTGTTATTTATTATAAATTTTATATTTCAGGAGACACTTTTTCTTGTAAGTTGTATGGAATTTGAAAAATTGATGGCATTATTTGTAACCTATATATTATAATTTGTTATAGTTTTTAGTGATACGGATGATGTTGTATTAAGTTAAACTGATGTTGATCATATATTGACCACTGTTGATTAAGATTGATAATTTGATATCGATTCAATTAAAATATATAATTAAATACTTAGAAAACCATATTAATGTGAAGTTTTGAGCGACACTTCTTTTTTCTCAATTTTTTTTATATTGTATGGAATCTATTTTTTAAAAAAAAACTATATTGAATTATACTATTTACAAGAAAAAATATGTATAGAAAAATGAGTTATATTGAATTCTTTAAAATTTTGTTGAAATTGAAAAATAATTTATATGGAAATTTTCAATGACCTTTTTGCTTTCAATTTCAAGAATAATTATGAATTATGAATTTTAAAATCAAAGAGAAAGTTTGTGTTATTTTAAGCATGCGGTTGATGTTGATTACAAACTTTTGCGTGTAAAAGCAATTTCGTTGCTAAAATCTCAAGGGGGATAACTCTTCCTTCCGATAGGAAAAGATAAAAGGGAAAATTCAGATTTAATTTTAGTCAAAGTTTCTAAAATTTTAAAATTGTATTGCATATATAGGGAATTGAAATGAAATTAAGGAATGGACTAAAATGATTTTATTATTCCTAATGAAGTTAGGCATATGAACAATTTATATAAGGAAATTTATGATTAATGTATGAAAAATAAACAACTGATGTAAGTGAAATTTACAACTATTATTAATAATATAATATTATTATAAATATAAATAAGTAAAGTTAGATATAAACAACTTATATAAAAAATGAAGAATTAATGTATGAAAAATGAACAATTGACAAGTGAAATAAGAGTTGCAAATTTATAATAAAGTTATAAATTTTGTTTATATCAATTGTTCATTTTTCATACATTAAGTATTAATTTTTTTTATATGAATTGTTTGTACACCTAATTTCACCTAAGATAATGAAATCATTTCAGTCATTTTTTTAATTTCATTTCAATCTCTCATATATACAATGAAATTTTAAAATTTTAAGAGTTTTAATTAACATTAAATCCAGTCAAGAGTTTCTCATTGAAATTTTCCCTAGAAAACACTCTTTTCACCAAAGAAAAAAACTGTAATTTTAATATTTTATAAAAATATATACATTATATTTTAGGGTAATTAAATTTTTGAATAATTAAGACTAATAATCTATCTTAAGTTTTTTTTCTCTTTTTTCTGGTCTTATGAAACCATATACTCTTCCACGTCAAATAGGGTCATAGAATTTTATTAATACGAGAAGCTAACTACATTAAAAGAATTAAATTGTGCCGTGTACAATGATTTTCCCTCATGGAACCGATCCGAGGGGACGATAAGTATCTTTCATTTTCTTTAGTGTTATTATTTATTTTTTATTATTATTATTTTTTTGGTTGGGACATCTAGAAGGTTTATTATATTTACCTCCTGCGGTTCTTAGAAAGCAATAAACAATGCAAGTTTATTATATTTGCAAATTATATTCCAGAAGCAATGTTTATTATATAAGTGCCATTATTTTATTTTTTTTGGGTTGTTGGGTTTTTTTTTTTTTTGGGGGGCTACTTCCTTAACTAATGCAAGTTTATTATATTTGTAACACTATGATTTGTCCGTAACACCTTTTGTCCTTTTTTTTTTTTTTTTTAATCTACGCATAAAAGTCTGTCTCTCACACAAACTAGGCTGGAATGATGACCACTTGATATGTTTAAAACTAAACCGAACGATTATATCTGACTAATTCAAATCAAATTAATATGAACTGATTAAAACCAATATATAATTAGGTTTGGTTTTTAATTTAAATAAGCTGATCGCTTTAGTTCAAGGTTTCAGTTTTGGGGACCTCCAGATTTGAGCTAAAGATAAACCGATTACATCAGCCTAATTCAAATCAAACTGATATGAATTGATTAAAACCAACATATAATTATGTTTCGTTTGATTTTTAATTTAAATAAATTGATCGATTTATTTCAAGTTTCAGTTTTGGGGATTTTCAGATTTGAATTAAACATGAACCAAACCAATTATGGGTATGTAATTTTTTAAAGGGACAAAAAGCCTAATCCGCCCAATTCCATTAACCTGTTCACTAAGCTCATTTGTATCATTGTAACTAGGAGCGTCGTTTGTGATCAGTCAAAATAGGAAATATTAGCTGTTTGACCACCAGCTCAGTGAAGGTGTTTACTTTTTTTTTTTTTTTGGGCCAACAAGGTGATTATTAATATTTTAGGTTGAACACTTTATTTCTTAAATATAAACCAACAAGCAATCAGTGAATCTCAGTGCTCACCGTTCACAACCGCATTTTGCAACTTTGAATGTTAAAAGTCGGATAACGGTAAAAAAAAAAAAAAGTATTTATAATATCAAATAAATTCTAACATCTTACAAAAAGTATATGATAATATAAAAAATAAAAATTAGTAAAGATTAGGGGGAAAAAAGATAACTTGGCCGATTAGCTAAAAGAAATCTTGTATTAAAAAAATATGGACCAAATTTTTTAAAATTTAAAAATGTGGCCTATTTACATTGATATATAAAAGATTTATCATTAATATATAAGAGATTTATTATTAAAAATTTATAAGGCTTTTACCATTAATATGAAACAATATATCATTGAGAAATATAATAAACTAGTTATAATATAAAATATAATAAACATTAGGTTGTTTGCATGATTTGGTCATATAACATGGGCCTTATCTATAAAAACTCCTAAAAAAACATACTCCTTGTTCCTATTGTAAGGCATCTTTTAAAAAAAATTATTAGTCTTTAATATAAATCACATAGAGAGATGTTAAGTAACATTTTTCAATAGCTAACTACTAAAAGGATAATTTAATTATATTCCATGTTTCTGTGTGGCTTTGAATGTTGTGTTTCTCTCTCTTTGATAGAGCCAAAATTGAAATGTCTTTTAATTTTAAGGCATAATAAATTAATCATCTTTTCTTAATTCTAGTGGAGTAATTGAAAATAAATTATAAGGACTAGAGGCAATCGATTCTCATGAGAAAACTGATCAGATTCCAAAAATTCCTTAAATTAATCTGTTCAATTCAAGTTTGAACCACAATCAAAACAAATTAAACAGTTAAAAACCCTATTGGCCACAGTAGTGCACAGTGAATATGGATGGAATGGAATTAGAAGATATGGACAATATGGTAGAAGGTAAAAATAAAATATTTTATGGGGAACAAAACTAGAATCTTTCCAAAGCAATCTAATCTACGAGAAAGTACGAATTTTAAGGGGAATTGGGTGAATAGGATTTAATTATGCGATAAGCAAGTAAGGTATAAAATCGTTATAAATATTAAGAGGCCAAGAATACACAGCCCCGTTTGAATATTCGTTAGAAAAATTGATTATGGAAAAATTATTCATATGATTGATTTTGCTTATCGTTAATTATGTTATATGGGTATAATTGATTAATAATATTGATTTTAAGAAGAATTAAAAATAAAAATTAAAAATTGAATTACAAATTAAGTAAAATCATGGTTTTATGAAAATATATTTAAAGAGAAAAACTTATATACTTGTATACTTAAGGTGTTTGTATTCAATTAAGCTAAAACATGTACATCTTTTGTAGATTATTTTTTTATAATAAATTATTGTTATTAATTAAATTAATACATTAAGATCCACATATCATGATTTAATTAGATAGAAGCATATTGAGTATATAAGGCTAAGTACATAAGTTTTATCCATATTAAACACTCTATTACATGTCAAAGTTAATTATGAATTCAAAATCATAGTTTTCTTAAAAATATACGTACACATATTGTATAAGTTAAAATTAATCATGAACCCGAAATCATAGTTTTTTTTTTAATGTCTAAACACCTATATATATGCAAAAATTAATCATGAACCCAAAACCATGATTATCTCATAAACCACTATCACTTGTCTTTCAGTACATTTTTTCAACTATAGTTTTCTAAAAAATTATCCAAAAATCTTATAAACTATTTTACAAATAATTTTTTTAGTTCATAATTGATTTTGGCATGTATAGATGTGTTTGAATATTTTTAAGAAAGGGTTAAGTGTCATTTTTTTCATCCCAAAATTTTTGCATAGGGTCTACGGGTATTTTAAACTCAATTTTGAGTTATTTCTTGCCCTTGAATTTTAAAAATTCAGCACTTCATTGTCCTATTATGTACACAATGCTTGTTGATCATTGTCTACTTAGCTAGACTTGTTTTATTGACCTTTTTTGATTCATGTGTCATTCAAGCAAATGCGGTTCATTTTTATCCTTAAAGTATTTACTTATGAAGATCTAGTGTCTTGAACTCGATTTTTTATGTCATTTTTTCCTTTAAACATTTAAAAACCCAACCACACAAACACTAACTTGATTGCCACATAGCCAAAAAAAAAAGTCAACAAACTACATCCAATTCAGGCAGATATTGGTAAAAAAATTGGTTTATGAACGGCAAAAATTATCAAAAATCGAGTTCAAGACACTCGCATACCTTATGCATAAAAGACCTTTAACCTTTTAGGAAAACATGATTTTTGATTTATATTTGATTTTCACATGTAGCATGAATGTTTGGATATATCCACCTTCTATTGTATTTTGCATTGGATGGTTATTGTAGTTCTATAGTAACCATCCAACCTCCTTTTTATTTTATTTTTTAAAGTAATTTTTAAATTATTATATAGTAAATAAAAATAAAAGATCATAAGGCATAATATTAGGTGGGTATAGGACCCAAAGTGAAAAAAAAGAGCGATAAATATGGAACTAATATTAAAAAATCTTTTGAGATCACAATATATGACATTTAAAAAAAATATACTTGATCTAAAATGTAGGGGTGTTGAATAATTTTTATAATTATATAAATAACCATGGTTTAAAATATGTAAGTAATTTTATTTACTTATCCCATTTGCATTTTATCTATATTTAAAAAATTAATCTTCTATTAATTTTATAAATTGAACTCATTGAAATTTCCTCTCCTCTCTATTCCTTAACACAACAACTAATAGTTAATATCCCATACATCACACGGGCATAAAATTTAATTTCTTTTGATAAAACTATGATTTTGGTCTTTAGAATTGATTATTAGTGAAATCCAAGCAAGCACATAATACATATACAATATTAAGAAACAAAATGAAAATATGAGGGCAACAATTCTTACTAGATTTGAAGTTTCTCCTCTATCATCACTACTGCACATGAACTAAATTAATATATGTATGCTATCTAAAAGCTCTAATCACTTAAGTAAGTGATCAGAGATTTAAATTTTAGTCCTCACTCGATATCTTCTTGGTATTGATGGAGTTTATTCCTTATTTCTTTTTAAAAAATTACTTATAATTCCTAAATTTATCTTTCATGGTTGAACAAATTGAAAAAAATACAAAGCAGTTGGCAGGCACTCGTATGTAAGAAAACTTTATTTATACGTTTCAATCAAAATAAATTAAGTGTATGATCATTTAATATAATGGTACATTTAAAAAGGAAAAAGTTACGTTGAAATCTCACAGAAAATAATTAATTAATATAAAATTTATTGATGACTGAATTATATATATGTTTAATTTTAAATTTGTCAAGAGTTCACTTCTTAAAAGTTTACATAATAAAAATCAATTGTTATAATAAAATTTATTTTTGAATATTTTTTAAAAAGTTAGTTTGATAAATTAAAAATTGTTTAGATTAATAATAATTTATACTTTTGAATATAAAATGATAAAAAAGAATATTAATTTATGGTAACTTGTAATTATTGTTATCCAAATATAACATATTAAAATTTTTTACAAAAGTGAAAAAATTAAAATAAAATGAAATAATAAGGGAGGAGCAAAGATGGGAGTCATGAGAAGAGATGACAAAATGATAAGGATATCATGATCAATACCAGTTATTAATAATCTCATCCTCCACATTTATGCTTGAAAAGGAGGCAAATTGAGCTCTCAAGAACTCACATTCCAACCTATTAAAAATATTTTATAAAGCATATTCAGTCTCTTTAAAATACACTCAAATAGCCTTTCACATCCTAAAAATGAAAAAGTAATTTTGAAACGTGAAAAGCAACTCACCCAAACGGATCCTGAGTAAAATAATAATACAGTTTGTTGTCAATAGCTTTATTTTAATTGTTAATAAATTTTATAATAATTATTTTCTTGCGTGACACTTGAATGTAATTCTTTCTTTAAAAATAGGTAATAAAAAAGATATAAAAGTTAAATAAAATTTATAAAAATAAAAATATTTTTTATATTTTAATCAAAAACCATGATATATAAAAATGATAGGTAAAAAAGTATTGGGATTGGAATGACTCTCAAAAATCCAAATTATTATGAAGGATTAAAATTAAAACATAATTTAATTTTTTAACTTTATACAATATTTTATTTTAATCTTATAATTTTATAAAAAAATTTAGCCCTTTAACCTTAGTACTGTTAGTTTCATTCAAATAAATTTTTATATTAAACTTTTAAATATTAAAAAAATATTATCAAATATTGATATATTATATTTATTTTTTTAAAATAATAATGATTGATAGAAAAATAATTATTTTAAATTAATAATTTTAGAATTAAATAATTAAAAAATTAATCTATAAAATTAAAAGATTAAATTTAAATTTTATGTAAAGTTAAAAATAAATAATATATTTTAACTAAATTGACAATTAGCCATTTAGCCTCGCGGGCCTGCAACGACAAGTAGATGCGACATTTTTTAAAATTTTCTGACCATTAGGAAGTTTGTTTTTTAATATTTTAAGCTCAACTTTTCAAAATTTACTCATTTCGCGGGCATGGAACATCCGGGCCCACCCTGGGAGGCGTTGTCAATTGCGTTACGGAAAGTCATAAACACCCCTAACGAAGTGTCAACTTTATTTTTATTTTAATTACAAGCCCAAGTACGGCGAAAGATTATAATCATAAATAGGGATGAGAGTTTGGCTATTCATCACTTTAATAGATACTCTAATTTGTATATTAATTATCTTACTAAAATATCTCATTTTATGGATGTAATTTTTTATTTTTTAATTATCTTTTATCTATTCCTTTCGTTTAAAAATATAAGATATTTTTAATCAAATCTCATCCCCAATAAAGTAATTATTTATTTTCAAACTAACCTTATTTTTTCATACATATTCCTATTAAATGTTCTATAATAAATATAAGTTCATTATCAATAGGAATATTTTAAAAAATAATAATTATACTTTAAAAAATTAAAAATGCCTTATATTTTTAAATATCTAACTTCTTAAAAAATGTCTTATATTTTCAAAGGAAGGAAGTGTATTCTAAAAAGTAATGAATGATGTACAGACTTTACCTGTGAATTTGATCATGCTATAATTATTTTTTAATTTATGAACGCACTTTTTAATAAAAAATTTATAAATAAGATGAAGCCGCAATCTTTCTCACTTATTAAAAAATGTAATTGGGTTCTTTTTTATTCACAACAAATAAATATAATTATAGGGTTAGATAATTGAATTATGTTGTTCATAAATTATGAAGAATATAGTATACTTTAAATTTATTTTGATCACGTTAACATCAATTACTTCTCAAATTTTAACTGCAGACACTTCAATTATTTTCTCCTTTTGAAATTCTGATGTGAAGTTCTGGCTTTTAAAATATTTTAAAAAGAGAGAGAAAAATCTGAGCGGGAAGGGAAAGTGAGGGTATATTGGGAAAACAGGAGGTTCCGTGATAGCACAAATTGAGGCTTTCTTACACAGTTGTCCTCAACTCGGACTTTTCCCGTTGGCTTTGTTTCAAGGCAAACCCACATGCTCTTGCTCACTTCCTCGTTTCTGCCTTTTTTGTGATCCGTAGAAATCAGAAAGTCTGTATCTCTTTTCTTTAACTCAGCACAGGTCAGTGAACTCCATATCATTTTTGAATTATCTCCTCTATAATCTCTAGTTTTGTTCTCGTTTAAACTCTTTACTTTTCGTGTTCGTTCTTGGCCTGCGTGGGATTCTGTATTAGCGATTGACCCTTATTCCGACGGCTTTTCCTCTTACAAGGTTTGCCGGCTGTGTGATGTTCTGTGATTTGCCGGATCTGGTTCACGTTTATATTCTCTTGAAAAACGATGCGCCGCTGCTTCCAGTTTCACTGTGCAAGCCTTAAAGTTGAAACTAAACAGGGAAATAGATAAATTTAGATATTGTTGGGAAGGTGCCACTGAGAGATGCATGATCATAGGTAGAGAAGCATAAATTCATAAAATATAATGTAACTTGGAATCTTAGACTTGAATGAGTTCCCTGAAGCGACTAATTTTTGTGCTCACAAACTGCAAAAGAATATTTGCTTTTGGTCCAATGTTAATTGCCGCAATTTGAAATTATGACAACAACTGGATCCTTGGTTTTAGTTTAGTGATGATTATGATAATGTTTTAGTTAGTTCCTTAGCTTTTCTTTTTGTTTTTCGGGGGGGGGGTGGGGGAGGGAGAATGCGATGACTGATTTTTGTATTGTTGCGTCATCATTCCATTCCGTTCGTTCGTTTTTAATTCTAATGGTTTGGTCTTGCCCGATTCTTGTGATTGTCGGGGTGGAAAATTATAACCAACTGTTCACAGTACTATTGAGTCACTAAATCGGTGTTAAAGCATAGTATAAATGCCTTCGTAGTTCTCTAGAGGAAGAGAATATCTCATCTTTTTTACTCCTTCAAATTCCACCTCTTGAAGATTATTATTATTTCTTTATCGCATGTTTCTTGCCTAAGCCTTTACTCTCTGAATTTTAGATGGAGGGCTTCGACAATTCCGGATCAGGCAACCAAGGAACTATGTTGATGACTCCATATTACACTCCATACCAGAAGAAGGGGTTGAACAATTCTGATCTTCCCATTGTCGATATTGACTTATTTTCCGCCTCGGCTGGTGATAGTTCTGGGGTTTCGTCAAAGCAGACTTCTAGATCACCCTTTTCGTCTTCCCCAGACTCAGAATCTGAAACCCCTGGTTCGTCCATAAACCGTTACCATGGCTTGCCAATGAATACTGATGGCAATGGAGTCCACCAGGAGATTAAGCTGAAGGAAGAATTTCTTGGTCTGGAGTCACAAAAGAAAATAGGTGGGGGAGATCATATGGATAATATATTGTGGGAAAATGATTGTACAAGTTATCAGGAATTGCTCTGCAAACTCGTTAAAACTGAGGAAGAGCTGAGTAATGCAAATTTAAAACTTCGGCTCTCGGAGAAGGAGGTTGTCAATTCAAAGAGTCAGATTGTGAATTCTGAGGGTCAGCTCCATCATGTTCTAAAGGAATTAAAATTGAGGGAGGCTGATCTTGAATTTGAGAAAGAAAAGGTGCTGAAGTTGCAAAATCAAACATCTGATTTGGAAACTCACGTTCAAGATTGTTGCTGCAAGATTGCAAAGTTGACTGAAGAACTAGCAGAAGCTAGAGAACATCTTAGAGTATCAAACGACGAGATTGCAGGATTAAAAAATAAATGTGATGCTACTCATGAATTGCAATGTCAGCTTGAACTGGCCCAACAAAATGTTGCCGCATTTGAGGCCCAGCTTGATTCAGGGAGAAATCAGATTCGGGAGCTGGGAGAAAAAATTATATGGTACAAAGGTAATGAAAGCAAACGTGAACTTGAGGTGCAAAATTTGAAGGCCGAAATGCTTGATGCCCAGGCAAAGTATTCTTTGGAGAAAGAGCTTTTGCAGTCTGATGTTTTAAATTTGCCAGAAGCAAGAGCTCAGCTGGATTCTGCACTCAAGGAATGGGAGTTAAGAAGCCACTTGTTAGAAAATAAACTCAGGCAGTGTGAAGGTGAAAAGTTGAAACTAGAAGAGCAAAATGCAGCCCAAGAAATGGTTTTACAAGGTGAAATAAGTTGTTTGAAGGAAGAACTTGGTGAAAGAAGGCATGATATTGAAGCTTTGAACAAGGAAATTGACAGCCATAAGCATAAGTATGATATGATCGTGGCTGAAAACGATGGAGCCAATGCAAGGATTCATAAACTCATAGCAGACGCGAGAACCCGAGACAACCAGATTAAAAATATGGAGAAAGACCTTTGCCTGTTTCATGCCCACCATGAGGAGCTCAAATCAATATCTGAAGCCAGACTTAATGAAGTAAATGAGTTGAAACTGAAAGTGGAACAGCTCGAGGTAGTGGTGGCTAGACAGAAAGCTGTAATATCAGAGAGAGCAGAGGAGAAGAGGGAGGCCATACGGCAACTCTGCTATGCACTTGATCACTTCAAGAATGGATACCAAGAACTTCGTCAAGCATTTACTGAGCAAAAGCGTCATGCTGCTGTAACTTCCTAAGGTACATTCAGTTGGGTATCATCATCCAATATCATAGATGCTAAAGCTTTGCTTATTATCATTTTTGCATTCACTTTTCCTACATCTGTGAGCATATCAACATCATATGATGTTGCCAAGCTTATCACAAGGTATCAAACAGTTAGAATGATGGTTGAAGTTCTGGAATACTTCTGTTTCATGGTAGTTGGGGTTATTAATGCTTGAAAATTTAGTCCTCTTTAAGATATTTGAAGTTTGAACTGAGCCATTATGTACCGTTCATTTGAACTCTGCTCGCTAGTCAAGTCAAACTCACTTGTGGTTGTGGTTGTGGGAATCTTATAGTTCATCAGCGTAGAAGACATGGATGATAATCAAGATTGACAGCGTCGTAGTTAGGGCAAGCAATCCAGTAAATATTAATGACGTAGTTACTCCTGCCTGAATCCGCAACTCAACTACTAAACCTTGGGAAAAGACAGGTTTTAATGAGATAATAGCTACCATTATGGGATATTCATATAAACGCCAAGTTGAGTCAAAACTGTGAAACCCAAGAACACCCTTTGGATCCCATACGCATAGCACAAAGTAAAAGACAAAAATCCAGTTAAAAATAGTGTAACATGCATGCCACATCCTCGAGCTAGAGAAGTGGGAATTATCTCATTGGTCAATTTAAAGGGTTATTGTCCTACATCAACATTATATATTTGCAAATCTAATTCTAAAGATATTCCTCAAATTTTGAATTGTGTTCTAGACAATAAACATAGCTCAGAATTTGTAAAGAATCAACACTCAAAAAATTACATGCACAATGCCCCAGAATATTGATAATTTTTTTTTTTGAAAATCATTGATGATTCAAGTGAATTCAAAATTAAAATTTCAAATATTCTATTCATTCCAATTTACAATAAGACATATTTGAATGTGATTTCGTGCTTCAAACTACAAAATATTTTGATAAAAATAAAATTTTATGAATAAATATTATTTTAATATTATCCCTTGTTATTTTAATTTTAAATAAATTTATTTTCCTCTTATTGATGAAAAATATTTTTACAAGTTTATATAAAAATTAATATTGTAAGCTGTATTTAATGAATTTTATTAATATATGTAATTTTATATAAAAATATCTTATAAATTGAGATAGGAAATTATATCTTTGCTGTGTGGGGGAGTGTTTGCAACAAATTTATTTATATAATATAAAATCTTTAAGAAAATCAAACTATTTATAAGTCATTCTACAATTTTCTTTCCTTTTTTTTAATTAATGTAAGTCCACAATCTAATTGATTTATATAATTTTTATGTTTCATCACGTTAAAGATGTTTGTTTTCTTATTTGTAAAATAACCCGCAGGAACAAGCCGAAAGATAAACTGACGTCGAATTTGGTATGCGGGTCAGATTCTGTAGTTTAATAGTTTTTCTTGAACCGGAAGACATTCTCAACCATAGACCGAGTAATGAGCAAGACTTTGACTAAGTCAATCGTCCAATCATCTAAAAGTCAAACTTCCATAGCTTCTGGTTTCTTTACCAGGTCATCAACTCCCCCCCGCCTGGTTGTCACACATCACACACATCAAACACACATTTATATATTCGCATTATTGTCGCTATTTTTGAAATATCATAATTTCTTTAAATTGTTACTACCTCTGAATCTATTTTTAAAAAATGATAATTAAATTTCAACTATCATTTATTCCTTATGAATGTATAATTTAAGAAAGTAATTATTTTAACAATGTGAGAGTATTCAAGTTCAAAAAAAAAAATACAAGTATATTACTCCCCCCGATTTTTATTATAAAATATTTTTAATTATTTTATGCATCTTAAAAAAATAATTTTTTTATATTATAAAAAATTATGTATACTTTTATTTTTACCCTTAATTTTAAATAATGATACAATTATATTAAATACTTTTACACTAATTAAGAAAGAGTAAAATTAAAAAAAGTAATTTAATTATTGAAAAGTGTTTTATATTTTGGATAAAAAAATTACTTCTGAAAAATGTCTTATAAATAAGACTAGATGGAATATCTTCGATCTTGCCAGAGATAAGTTATTAGTTAATGAAAAAAATAGGGATAAAATCTATGCAAACCACCTCATCTTGAAAAAAAAATAACTCTCAGTAAATTAATTCTGGTTCCATGATTTAAATATTCAATACAAAGAAAGCAAATATTAAATTCACTGCCTTCTGCTCCTTCCATTTAAAAATATAAAATATTTTTAATCAAATTTTATCTCCCAATAAAATAGTTAACTGCTTTTTAACTAACCTTATTTTTTTATATTTATCCCTATTAAACACTCTATAATAAATATAAAGTCATTATCAATAGAAATAATTTTTTAAAAAAGGCAATAATTACACTTCAAAAGATTAAAAATATTTTATATTTTTTAACATCCAACCCTTTAAAAAATACCTTATATTTTTATGCAAAGGGAGTAAAATATTTGTTCCAAGGAAAAAAAAAAAGTGCCCCCTTCTAAACTGGACTGTTACTATCTATTACTTTTTCTAGCTATGATATAAATTATTTTCAACCAATTTACGTTACCATATAAAAAAAGTTAATTAAAATCTTAATTTTTAAATTTTTTTACATATTTCTAATTATACTCTTGCATGGAATAAATACTTCATTCATTCCAATCTATAACACTTTTAAAGAAGATTTGGAGTCTCAATACCTAAGATACTTTAATAAAAATAATATTTTATTAATAATGTGTTTTTAAAATTATCATTCTTATTATATTCTCTCTTTTTAATATCCTTTTACAAATGTAATATTAATAAAATGTATTTTTTAAATTTTATATTTTTATTTTAAAAAGTTAAGATTATAAAGTGCATTTAATGAGTTTTATTAATATACATGATTTAAGTTTTATCTAAAAATTTCTTATAATTAAGATGATGAGTATAATATTTGACATATCCAAAATACTTCCATTAATTACTAGAGTATACTGAGTAAGGATACCATTGAATTGAAAAATCTACATACTTCATTCATTCAAAAATATAAGATATTTTTATCTGAATCTTACCCCCAATATAGTGATTATCTACTTTCAAATTAACCTTATTTTTTCATATTTACTCATATTAAACACCTTATAATAAATATAAAGTTACTATCAATAGAGAAACTTTAAAAAAAAAAGGCAATAATTATATTTTAAAAAACTAAAAATACTTTATATTTTTAAACATTCAATCCTTAAAAAATACCTTATGTGTTTGAACGGAAGGAGTATAACATATCTGTGAACACCGTATTTTGTTCGAACTTTTTTTAAATTTAATAATAAATAATCAAAAAATATAAAAAATATAAAAATAAAATTTAATCCTTTTTTAGGACTATATTTTCAAAAAAAAATATTGCTTAAATTTTTTTTAAAAAAATCTCTCTTAAATTATCCCAACTATTCAAAAATATTGAGAATCAATTTTTTGAGACTCAACTATTTTTAAATTTCTCTTCTTAAATCTTTTGTTTTTCATTTAAAAAGATGTGTTTTAAAATTAAACTTTTCTTTCTCTCCCTCAATCTAATTAATAAGAAAAAGCATTAAAGAATGGCTTAAAAAAAACAGATACATGCAGCGTACACACACACTTTTTCGGCCATGCAGCAGAAAAAGAAGGAAACAGCAAAAACAATAACGAAACGCCGAAACAGCACACACACGTAAAGAAAAGAGCCAGAGATGCATGAACAAAAAAAGAGAGCAGAGAGCAAACGCAAGCACAGCAAATACATAATAAAAAGAAACAGAGCCAGACGTGCACGAAGATAGCAGACAGAACAGCAAAGAAAGTAGACGTTACAACAGGGAAAAAGTGAGAAGAAACAGAGCAGAAATGCAGCACCCGCACGCCAGCTGAAACGAGCACAAAAAGACGCTAGAAAAATAGAGCACGGATGAAATGTATGGAGGAGGACGAGAGCACAAATAAACGAGAAGAGAGCTGAGACGAAAATGAAAGGGGAGCGAGTCCGAGAGGAAACAAAAAAGGAAGCAAAAAAACAGAGCATCTAAATGAGGAAAAATGGAGGAAGGAGAGACCGAGGATGGACGAGAAAAATGGAAGAAAAACAGAGCATAGAAGGAGAGAAACGAAATTGAAAACGCAAAAACAAAAATAGAGCACCGAGAAGTAAAGAGAAAACTGAGAACGAGAGTCTGAACATTGGCTTTTAACTGAGAGGTTTTCTGGAAAAAAAGCACGGTGAATTCATTTAACAAAGGAAGCATTGAAGAGCTCGGCTGGATTCTCCATTTTTTCATTTCTCGGGGTCTTATGGTTATTCACGCTTTCCCTTGCATGGCAAGGCTTCGAATTCTGAGAATGTCACGAAGGAAGAGGGTCCTCTGATCAGAAAATCTAAGTGGAGAAGACTCACATGCACCAAATATGGAGAAGAGTCTGCCATTGACGTCAAAGATGGACACAGACCACCCTTTTGTTTTCAGTTCTTTACATTGGAACCCAATCCTCTCTTCCTTCCTGTTCTTCTTCATTCAAACACGTTCTTCTATGTTCAGACAGGAGTGGAAAGCTGACCTGGGCATATGATGGTGATATTGGAACGGTGAATCTATATCGAGGTGACATCTATATGATTGGCACAAGCTTAGTTTTCTACTTATAATGTTCTTGGAGGCACAGAGACAAAAACCTAGGGCTTTTGCAAGGTGGAGCCTCAAGGCTGTTGCAACTTGAGGACGTGGTCATTGGCAGTTAAATCAGGTGATATTTAAATCGTGTCATCTCCCTTAATCTGGATTTGATTCATTGATGAACATGTAAGAGTGTGGACTGATCCATATATATGTTTAGGCATTAAAAATTCATGAATCAAATATTTGATTTAAAATTTAGAACATACTTGAGAGTTGTTTGACAAAATAAAAAAGAAGAAGAAGCCTGTGAGAATATCATTGATAATTTGCTAGGTGATTGTGGTTTGAAGCCGTATCTATCATGGTAATGATCTTGCTAAAGTTTATGTCAAATATGGATTTTTTAGAATATATCCCCAGATTAAAAGAATAGTGAGCTATCAAAATAATTTATTTCTCTATTCTTTCCATTGCTTTCATCGCATGAATCGTTTAGCCAACTATAATATTATGCACTGCTTGCAAATACAAATATCTTAATTATCTATTTGTCGCGTGAGATTTTAAGAATATCCATAGGCATTTAGAATGATCCTCTATCGTGTAAATCAATAATATTTCGCAGATATGAGGATCAATCGTGTATATATTAAT